TGTATTTATATGTTGTAACTTCAGGTTGCATAGGTTTAGTCTTTGTAAAAACTATGAACTGATTTTGTACAAAGTGTTTAATAGGTTGGGCAATGTAAAATTGACGCCCTTACAAACTGAATTTCACTGTGAGTTATTGCCCTTTGTCACTCTGCAGCATGAAAACATCTACTACATTAACTATTTTGTTATTAGTAGCTTAGAATTATTTTTCTTGTCTTTTTTGCCTTAATTTTGACTGATAAGGCAGAAAGGCCTCACTAAATGTCAGGTAACGCCGTGAGCTTCACTACCTCCACCATTACAATGATCTTTCTTTCTTTGTCCAAGGTTAGCTCACCCTGGGTCACATTTCCTCGTGGGTGGAGCGATCATACCGCTCACATAAAATATTTGATAATGTTCTTATAGAAACAATTCCTGAATGTTGTTCATACTGTGTTAATGCTACATGTTTGTCTTTTGACCCTACAACTGCATAAGGGTTACAGTAAACCTAGCCCATTACTGGAGTTTTTATTAGGTATTTTAAGCTACTAATAAACATGATAGATGACGATCATATTGCTAGACCATTGGTAAGAAGGAGTGATTATTATTATTATTGTTGTTTCATATTGGCTAGTGATTTCTTTTTCCCCTAAAAGTTAAATTAGACTATCCTGATGCATGCTCAATAATCAATAATAAAAGACTGCACTATGTTTCTTGGACTGTGGCTAGGATGTGAGAGAAGTGAAGTGTGCTCTATTCACACAAGGAGAGCTGTTGGTCAGGTTACTTCTTGTTGTACCATTAACTCTAAAATGGTTATTGAATCAAGTGTTTACTTGTGTAGGTAAAACTAGATGTTAAACAACCCATTAAAATACACAAGAATGCAGGAAATGGAATCTACTTTATTCCGAATTTTCTGGGGATGGACCCCAGGCTAGTGGCACAAGTACCAGTTGTTAGGTAATCCTCCAGCAGGGAATGGAGCTTGCCAAATATGTTGATCGCGCTGGCAATTTGAGTAGATTGCATGGCAAAAGAAACGTCAGACTTAAAAAAAAAATATATATATATATATATATATATATGTTTTAGTTTTTTTAAATATTTTAAATAGATGTCAGTCATCCTCATCATGCAATTGGTCACTTGATTGACATACAGGGCAGCCAATCTGAGAATGGACCTTTTCTGACACATAGGTCATGTATGTGCATACGACCGCACTAAAAACTATCACATTGCCTCAAGTTTATTTCTTTTAATCTAAACTCAAGAAAGTGTGTAAAATGAGTAGGGGAAGCTGGACCAAGAAGCTAAAAAACAAAAAAACAAAACTACTGTATGAAATGGGAGGATTTATTTTTTCACGAGGTCATGTTAGAAGTGGGGCAGCACGGTGGCGCAACTGGTAGAGCTGCTGCCTCTCAGTGAGCAGGTCCTTGGTTCAAACCCCGGTCCAGGGGCCTTTCTGGGTGGAGTTTGCATGTTCTCTCCGTGCATGTGTGGGTTTTCTCCGGGTGCTCCGGTTTCCTCCCACAGACCAAAAACATGCATGTTAGGCTGAATGGTAACTCTAAATTGTCCCTAGGTGTGAGTGAGAGAGTGAACGGTTGTTTGTCTCGTTTGTCTCTATGTGTCCCTGTGATGGACTTGTGACCCGTCCAGTGTGTACCCCGCCCCTCGCACAGTGATTGTTGGACATGGGCACCGGCGACCCCCGTGACCCAAAATGGAATAAGCGGGTAAAGATAATGGATGGATGGATGTTAGAAGTGGGTTTGCCTCATCTGCTAGTGTACCATTTGCTATTCCGAAGAAGGGAGAGGTGTGTTAAAGACGAGAGCTGACTCGAACCTCCCTCAGAAGTGGCAACTCATGCTAACAAATAAATCAAGGAAACGTCAATTAAGTTTTATCAATTATATTAAAAAAGGCAGGAAAAGATTACAATTTTATAGCGCTGGACTCTCCGGACTGTGACGCGTTCACAGACCCGGAAGAGCCCCAATGTCTCGTCTCATTACTCCTTTATAGGGTCCTAGACTCAACCTTTCGCAGAAGGGGAGCTCAGCCTATCAGTGTATGAGGGGGCGTGGCTAAGTGTGGTCTTATGTGGACTGACGTGTTAGGAAATATGAGACGGTGCTTCAAAGCCTTTCTCCGTGATGTGGCAGGCAGATCAAACTCTATTCCGTGATAGATATTGAATCCCAGGGAGACTCTCTTAAGAGTTTGCTGGCCCAGTTTAACCCAGTCAGAACCGGGTCATAATTTCATTATAATCCCGTCTCTGAGCAGATCAAAACCATAGGACCAGTCTAGATTAAAAATATCTTAACAGGTGGAGAGGCATTTTTGGACTATTCATAAAAACTATGATGATATCGACTTCCTTCCGAAAAGCGAGCTGAGAAAGAAAACGGTGAAGGAACTAAAGTCCCATTTATCTGGACAGTGGCCATTTTTCCTACAGCTGATCACAAAAGTGAAGGCAGCTATACCAAAGCATCATTCTGAGTGAGTCACTTTAATAATTGTTAATCACAAGAAGTTCGTTCAAGACGGGGAGATGGTAAAAGAGGCAGCTGACTAGTTCTGGGACTTTAAAAACAAACCAGAAATATAATCTTTGATCAAAGCTCCATGTTTCAAGAAATACGGTTACGGTTAAAAGCCAGCTGCTGTCATGGCTGAATTTTCACTTTTGTCCTCAAGTTCTCAGATTATTTTTCCAAACATGAAGTTATTCTTGTTGATTTCAGTTCCTATGTGTGAAGAACAGAAGTTACTGCCATGTTTTGTTTATTTTGCTCGTGGGCAGTAAAAATATATTTTCCCTTCTTTTTTTTTTTTAAACAAACATTTGGGTTTTGCCATTTATGTTGCATCCACAGCGAGCTGGGACTTAGTCATTCAACCTTTATTTATCCAGGTTGGTCTCATTGAGTCACGTGGACTCGTTTACAAAAAAGACCTGTTTTATACAGACAACATAAACTACAGTAAAATACAACTAAATAAAAGTAGTGTTATAAAACAATAAATCAAGGTGCCATGTACAACATGGTAAAATACTAAAAACAACGTAAAACAAATAAAGCATATACGGTTATAAATAAGTATACGTTTTGTATTTTTATAGTAGGTAGATCATGTGGACTTTGAAAAGTAGCTCACATGCTGAAAAGATGTGGGTGCCTCTGCTCTAGACTCTTATACCCCTGGAGCCAATTAGTGGAATGACCTACAGCTGCTGCTCATTGACGTCACCCTAGAACTCAGGAACCTGCAAGAGACTGAAAACCCTACAAACGCTCCAAAGCACGTGGCCAAGATCTCAAAGAAGTGACATCAAGACCACTGATGAATGAGTGCACACACATAGTGAATGTGAAAGCACAAATAACAGCCGCCAGGAATCTGTATAGGCAGGATCCCTCCCACGCCTGCCGTCCGGCTTGCACCTCACCAAACCTTGAAGGTCCTTCTAGCAGATGGTGGGCCCATGTGGATTATATAATATAGGGGTTATGAGCTACTGTGCCAAGTTAGAAATATGTCTTTTCCCATTCCTAATACCTTAGTTAATCAGGTAAGTCTCAGATGTCCCAGCTTTTCACCAGCCTTGAATGCATCATTACCTTTGTAACCTGGAGTGGTAAGAAAGTCTCAAAAGTCTTCAAAGTCCATCCACAGCTGGCGATTTATGCACGTGTGTTTGACAATTTGTATGTGCAGCATGTTCCTACCGGTACATTTTGAAATATGTACATTTGATTAACTGTTTAGGCATTTGTGAATCATGTGGCATGCATACAGATATTGTTGCACACTTGTGTGACTACTTCTAATTTATCTTCGTATATTTGAGGTGACATATTTTCTAATTAAACGTTGCATAAACTTTAGGGTTTGTTTATTGCTTATTTATTGAAGTAAGTTCTATATAAGTTCAGATCCCATTTGGAGCTCAGTGTTGTCTATCCTGCTGCAGGCCTGTGGCATTAAAAAAAAAAAACCTGCCTTCATGTTCAGGACGATTACACATCCTGAGAAGCTCTTTCTAACACAAGAATTAATTATAGCTAATGCAAGATGAGTTCAAGTTGGTCGAGTTCCAGCTGAAAATTTTAGGAATAGGTTCAGCTCTATTACGAGATATGTAGTCACTTTTTAATTTACAACTTTTGTTGGTCTGAAATGTTTAAAGTGATCATAATGGCTGGAGTTTCTTATTTATTTATGTCTGTGTGCAAATCAAGTGCACTAAACTTGTCATTTTAAAGTATAAATGTGTGTCTTAATGCCCTCGGAGAGCTCAAATTTGCTCATTTTGTCTTGAGGGACGCTGAACTGCTATAAGCTGAGTTTGGTGCAAACTCAAATATGTGAGTTTTAATCTAAATGAATTAAATTAACATGCATTAAACAAATGCGGGGCCTTGGCTGTACTGCGCCAGGAAACGAAGCTGATGAGGAGTAAAGTGTTCACAGCTTCATCGCACTTTTCTCTGACAAGACTCGCAAAGTGTGACAAGGTCACACGTCAGAAAGCGAGAGAGAGAGTGCTGCCACCAGCTGGTTCCTAACACGTTACTTATCTGTCAAAACAGTTATTTGAATGGATTTTATTATTTATTTATTTACCTTTATTTAACCAGGCACCGTGAGTCTCTTTTGCGAGGGAGGTCTGGGCCTGAAGGCAGCCGAACATGCAGGTTTTTGGTCTGTGGGAGGAAACCGGAGCACCTGGAGAAAACTCACGCAAGCACGAGAAGAACATGCAAACGCCACACAGAAAGACCCCAGCTCCAACTGGGGATTGAACCCAGGACCTTGTTGCTGTGAGGCAACAGTGCTAACCGCTGAGCCGTCGTGCTGCCGGCTCGAAAACATTAACACCAGAAGGTTTCTTACACTTTCATTTAATATCGCTTTTTAGCTCATCAAAAACAATAAAATACAAAGAATTTTTTTTTAAATGTCTAATTACGATGCTTGCATCATGTAACTTTGTTGTATATGACGGCGAGTTCTGCTCGAACTTTCCTAAACGTGGGTCTGTTTTTGGGGTCGTACTGCCAGCAGTTGTTCATGACGGTGGAGATCTCGACGGGGCAGCCGTGAGGAGCAGACATACGGTACCCTGCAACACATCACCGACACAAGAGTCACAAGCAGCTGCACCTGGACACAAACATTCAGACTCACCACAGTCTTTACCTCGCTCCACCTCGTCCCGAGTCTGCTGGTTGTTCATGCTGGTGTAAGGCGTCATTCCCAGAGAAAAGGCCTCCCACAGTAAGATGCCGAAGCTCCACACATCACTCTGAGTGGTATAACGGCCTGACAACAACAGCAGGTGGCAGCATTGGCAAAAGGCAGGCCTGCTGTTCTCTGTCAGTTTTCAAACAGGAGAAACGTGGCCTACCATAGTTCAGGGCTTCTGGAGCGGTCCATTTGACAGGGATCTGCCTGAGTCCACCCTCTGCAGAGTAGACCCCATCGTCTCGCTCTCGGGACATTCCGAAGTCACTGATCTTCACCACGTTGTGCTCTGCGACCAGACAGTTCCTCGCTGCCAGGTCCCTTAAAAAGCAGAGAACGGGCTGTCAGAGGTGACAGGAGGGCAAAAACACAACAACACGCGTGACAAGTAGAAAATAGGTGATGCTTCCATGTTTGATGTGTTGAGGGCCGAGCAGCTACCTGCTCTGATCTGTTTCCACAGGCTGAGCAGAGCCCTGAAACATAACTGAGAGGGATAACACAGTTCCCTCATCCTCCTCCACAAAGCTCCACATCCAAAGCGTCCTCCCCCGCATCCAAAGCTCCTATTCACGAACCCACTCAGAAAAAGCAAATTCTTCTTCGTTTCAAGCTCCTCCAAAACGATTGTCACCCAAGAATTGATGCTTTTGCATCTCTGCTCATCTTATAAAACAAACAAGACAAATTCATTTGATTCTAAATGTAAAATCTCACATTTAATCCCAACCCGCAGATTCACACTCACCGTCCCACACACACACACACACACAAAGGCTGTTTTTAAACTGCTGTGGTCAAAATAGAGCCAGATTTCCTCTTCACGTGAGAACAATATTCAAAAAGATTGTAATACACTCATTCTGTGCTTTTCCTTTTTGTTTTAATCTGATTGGAATAAAAAAAAGATCTGCAAAGAGGCTCAGAATGGTTGCACATCAAATTAAGTCGACTTCCTCTCACACAGTTAGCTGCTGTTTTAAATTAATTTATTTTTTAAATCCATCTACTGACATTTCAATTAAAAGCACCAAAATTGTCCATTGCTTTTTTTAATTGTAATTTCTCTCATTCCTCTTTTTTTCTTCAGTTGCCAGTTTAATATTTATTACTATTATTTATTACTTATATTTTTATTTTGCATATCTGGGATTCTGAGTTAAAAAGAGTTTATTAGTGTAGAGTTTTTGTGCACTTCCTGCACTTCTCTCAGCTTGATGGGAAGCCAGAAGGCCGTTTTCCCAGCATTCGTTTGGGGAAACTACTTTATTTCTGTTTTGCTGGCAATTCTTTGCCGACCGTCAACATATGGGGAAGTGCTGCAAAGTGAAGTTAACATTTAAGAAACAAAAAAAAACAGGGGATGTTTTGAGCTCAGTCTGCTTTAATGAAACATGTTGAATTAAACTGAGCATAAAATGGGTTTAGTCATCAATTTACACAAAGGAAATCAATTTTTATAGTTTTCTTTTGTTGTTTAGGATGCTGTGCTAATTCAGTTTTAAATAGATTTAAAGAAACCAACACATTGCATTTAAGTTTTACTGCATCAGACCGTACACTTTTATCTTGTAGTAATTTCAGGATTTGTAAACACTGTTGACATTGTTAAAATCTCTAAGTGATGCATAATTCACACCACCTAAATGTGTAAATTACTGCAGGAAGGGGTGAAGTGAAAATCCGTTTCTAATCATTAATGATTACATCATCATCCCATTATTATATCATTACGTTGATTTTTTTTTAAAAATCTGTTCAAACATGAATTCATTTAAAACCAAACTGAGTCACTCACATCTGACCTCAATATTTAATTTTTATATAAAAATATGAAGCTAGAATTGAATTGATCATCAGCTGGAGATGAGTCACAGTTCAAGTTTTTGGTTTTCTTGTGCAATCTTATAAAAAAAGTCGTTCTCAGCATGAATGAACGCTCAAAGGCTTTTACCAGACGAGCAAAAATATTGACGAGTTTCCCTTCTATGCTCGATTTGACAACTTTCCTTTAAATGCATTTTGAAACATGACAAGTTTTCTTTAAAAAGACAAAGAAGGTCAGAGTTTTGAGACATGATGGAGGGAGCAGAACATCTGGAGGTGCAGTTTGGAGTTTCGGATGCTGGGTCTCACTCCGACCCGACGTGCAGCTCAGCATCGTTCATCCTGAAGATGAAGCTTCTTCTGTAACACAGAAGCTTTACTTGCAGCTGTGGCTGAGTGGTTAGAGCGGCCGTCCTCCAATGGGAGAGTTGGGGGTTTGATTCCACCAGCAGTCACATGTTGAAGCGTCCCTGGGCAAGACACTGAACCCCTCATTGCCTCTGATGTGTGTCCCATCAGTATGAATGTGATCTAAAGCTCTGATTAGTCTCTTCAGATTATCTTTGTAGAGATCTACAGGTGCTGGTCAAAAAAATTAGAATATCATGAAAAAGTTGATTTATTTCGGTAATTCCATTCAAAAAGTGAAACTTGTATATTATATTCATTCATTACACACAGACTGATATATTTCAAATGTTTATTTATTTTTAATGTTGATGATTATAACTGACAACTAATGAAATAAAACCCAAAAATTCAGTATCTCAGAAAATTAGAATATTGTGAAAAGGTTCAATATTGAAGACGCCTGGTGCCACACTCTAATCAGATAATTAACTCGAAACACCTGAAAAGGCCTTTAAATGGTCTCAGTCTAGTTCTGTAGCTACACAATCATGAGGAAGACGCTGACTTGGCAGTTGTCCAAAAGATGACCACTGACACCTTGCATGAGGGCAAGATACAAAATGTCATTGCTAAAGAGGCTGGCTGTTCACAGAGCTCTGTGTCCAAGCACATGAATAGAGAGGCGAAGGGAAGGAAACGATGTGGTAGAAAAAAGTGGACAAGGGATAACCACACTCTGGAGAGGACTGTGAAACAAAACCCATTCCAAAATGTGGGGGAGATTCAAAGAGTGGACTGCAGCTGGAGTCAGTGCTTCAAGAACCACCACACACAGACGTATGCAAGACATGGGGTTCAGCTGTTGCATTCCTTGTGTCAAGCCACTCTTGAACAAGAGGCGGCGTCAGAAGCGTCTCACCTGGGACTGCTGCTAAGTGGTCCAAAGTTATGTTCTCTGATTTAAAGTCTATTTTGCATTTCCTTTGGAAATCAAGGTCCCAGAGTCTGGAGGAAGAGAGGAGAGACACAGAATCCATGTTGCTTGAGGTCCAGTGTCATGTTTCCGCAGTCATTGGTGGGGGGGGCATGTCATCTGCTGGTGTTGCTCCACTGTGTTTTCTGAGGTCCAAGGTGGATCATCTACCAGGAAGTTTTGGAGCACTTCATGCTTCCTGCTGCTGACCAACTTGATGGAGATGCAGATTTTATGGAGATGCAGAATAATTCAGAAGAGCTAAAGCCCAATATCAGAGCAACCTGGGCTCTGATAACACCTGAGCAGTGCCGCAGACTGATGGACTCCATGCCACGCTGCATTGTTGCAGTAATCCAGACAAAAGGAGCAACAACTACGCAAGTACTGATGCTGTACATGCTCATACTTTTCAGTTAGCCAACATTTCTAAATATCCTTTGTTTTTATATGTAGGTCTTATGTAATATTCTAATTTTCTGAGATACTGAATTTGGGGTTTTCATTAGTTGTCAATTATAATCATCAACATTAAAAGAAATAAACATTTGAAATATATCAGTCTGTGTGTAATGAATGAATATAATATACAAGTTTCTCTTTTTGAATGGAATTTATTCAGTCAGTCTTTATTTAGAGGTTGAATGAATGAATGAATGAAAAAAATCAATTCAAAAAGTGAAACTTGTTTATTATATTCATTCATTACACACAGACTGATATATTTCAAATGTTTATTTTTAATGTTGATGATTATAACTGACAACTAATGAAAACCCCCAAATTCAGTATCTCAGAAAATTAGAATATTACATAAGATCTACATATAAAAACAAAGGGTTTTTAGAAATGTTGGCTAACTGAAAAGTATGAGCATGTACAGCACTCAATACTGAATTGTACTGAATTAAATCAACTTTTTCATGATATTCTAATTTGATGACCAGCACCTGATGTATGAATGTGCGTGTGGAGGTAAATGAGTGCACAGATTGTGTCGTAAAGCACTTTGAGTATCTGGATTAGATAGCAAGGTGCTGTATAAGTACAGTTTATTTACCATTAAAGGGTTCCTCAGCTGACAGCTCAGTTTAATGACACGTCTAACTGCTTAGAGACGCTCAGGCTCGCAGAGATTCAAATGACTCGGACACACAGAGAAGAAAAGCACTCTGGGCTGAGGACGGCTGAGTTCAACAGAGTCAAACACCTTCGGTCCAAATGATTGGTTGTGATTGTTCGATCAAAGACCAATAGATCACAAGACTTCTGAGTGCGTAACGCCATAAGATCGGTTCATTCTGAACTGAAAGCTGTGCTTAGAAAAAATAAATTCCTACTTTGTGCGCTTTTTTTTTTTTTTGTGGATTAGAGTATAGCGAGGCCTAAAAAAGCTTATATGACAGCAATTATTCTTTGTATGTGGTGAAACTGACCACTGTCAGGAAAATATTGGTTTGTTGGTGAACGTTTGTATTTTTAGTTGCAGGAGCAGAGGTTTAAATTGTTCGCTCTGTGCTTCTGATTTCAGAGTTTATCTTTGCTGATTTATTGTGCAGGAAAGAGTCCAACCAACCTGTGGATACACTTCTTGCGCTCCAGGTACTCCATCCCTGCTGCCACGTTTTCTGTCATTTTCACCAACATCTTCTGCCTCAGATTGTGACCCTCGTTACGCAAGAAGGAGAGAAAGTCTCCACCTTTGAGAAGATCAGACGACACAAATTGACGTGTAACAGAGTGGAGGTGGTGCAGGAGCCCTGATGCTGCTGGGAGACGACGTTACCCTGAATGAGCTCCATGATGATGTAGATGGGCTGTTCCTGAGTGCAGACTCCGATCAGTTTCACAATGTTCGGATGGTCGTACTGCTTCAGGATCCTGCGCAGAGCAACGTGGGGTTTATAGCTGTGTGTGCGCGTGTGCATGTGTGTGTGTGGTTTGTACTGACCTGGCCTCCATCAGGAACTTACTCTTGTGTTCTGGAGCCAGGTTCTCTTTGCAGGATTTCACAGCAACAGGAGTGTTATCAGATCGTAGACGTCCTCTGTACACCTCCCCAAAGTTCCCCTGCACAATCAGCCACACCATCAACTTAAAAAATATTTACACTCTACATACTGTATTCTACTTTAACATTTGTTTTAGGGTTTTTTTTTTATGGACTCTGGCTTTTGTCCGTTTTTTTTTTTTTTTTCTAAACATTTTTCATGATTTCTGTTCTTGTTTTATTTCTATTTCGTTCCGCTGATCTGGTTTTCTGCTTCTGTCCACGCCTGATTTGTGAGAATGTGTTTGTCTTGAGATCTTTGTGTTTTCTTGCATCATCTGTTCTTTCCTCGGTGTTTTATTCCCTCATGTTGTCAGCTCACGCTTCACCTGTTCCCAATTCCAATCACCCCAGGTGTTCGTCATTGTGTCTCGTTAGCGTCCCTTTAAGTTCACCATGTCTGTGGGATGTGCTTCCAAGCTTTCATGTTTTGTTCCTCCCTGCTCTGTTATTATTGTAAGATTTTGCTGCCACAGTAGCTTTTGTTTTGTCCTTACACCCAAAATAAATAATTACTCTTTATTTTATCCACGAGTTCCTGTGTCTGTCTGCACTTGGGTTGAATCCTCATGCAGAACCTGATATGATTCTGGTTTTTAAGCTTTCACAGCTGCACTCCGTCAGGTTTGATGCGTCATTCACCTTTTTGCATCAACGTTTGAGGAGAGTTGGACCCAACGATGCAGACTGACACAAAGAACTATAATAATAATAATTTTAAAAACTAAAGGACTTATTAATGAAACAAGATAAAACGGGTGGATGTGTCATGAATCAACAATGCTAGGCAGGAATGGTGAGAACAGAGGGAATAAAAAATGGGACTGTTGAGGAGACGGCTGCACCTGAGACTAATGTGAATGGGGAACAGGTGTAGTTAGACATGACAGGACAGAGGAGCAGGAACTCACTGCAGACAAGTTTAGGGGAAAGGAACTGCTGGCACATGAACACAGAAGAACAAAACAACAACAACAACCCACACAATATAAACATAACAACAAAAAACGTTATTTTATCTAACAATAAACACGTGACAACCCGATAACCGACACAAATCCTGATATGTGCCATTTGTATAATCTCAGGTTTTCAACTCTTTTTGGTCATATATTTAAACATTTTCAGTTGTATCTGTGTTAAATCACTGTTTGGTTTTTCTCTGGTTTCACTTTGGAATTCCTGTCTTTGGAAAAAATATTGTTATCAATAAATCAGAATGCATTTATTTATCCACCATACGTGGATCTCACCTGAATTTGGGTTATTCCTCTTAACATTTCCATAAGACTCTTTCATTTTATTAAAAATACCGTAACTCATATTTATGCAGAATAATTCATCCATCCGTTATCTTTTACCCGCTTTTTCCATTTTGGGTCACGGGGGTCGCTGGTGCCCATGTCCAGCAATCACTGTGCAAGGGGCGGGGTACACCCTGGACAGGTCGCAAGTCCATCACAGGGACACATAGAGACAAACAACCATTCACTCACACCTAGAGACAATTTAGAGTTATCAATCAGTCTAACATGCATGTTTTTGGTCTGTGGGAGGAAACCGGAGCACCCGGAGAAAACCCACGCATGCACGGAGAGAACATGCAAACTCCACCCAGAAGGGCCTCCGGACCGGGATTTGAACCGGGGACCCGCTCACTGAGAGGCAGCAGCTCTACCAGTTGTGCCACCATGCTGCCCAAATAATTAATCATTTTAAGTACAGTATATTCTATTTGCTGCTTTTTGTACAAAGTTAGGATATAAACATATTTTTAGCCTTTATCAAGTTTTCACAAAAACTAAACACTGTACAAATAAAACTGATATTTGAAACCATTTAATTTAATTTTAAAAAAATGTTTAAGAACACCACAGAAAGTTTATATGAAGATGGGAGGTTTTTGGGCTGAGCTAGAGGCAGGGCAGCCATCGTAGGTTCAACTCGCCGCCATGCCTAGATGTCATGGTGTCCTTCAGTGAGACAATGTCAAACTGTTTCCTGGGCACTTACATAGCTGCACGTTGCTCCACCTGGGTGTATCTCACATGTGATGTGTTAGATGCAGAGAACTAATTTTGTCATTGTATACAATGATGACGACACATAGAACTTTTTGTTCTAAATTTGAAACGGCAGCACTTTTACCAAATTGTGAGGGTTGTGTCAGGAAGGGCATTCGACATAAAACACTTTTGACAAAACTAATATGCAAGTTCATCTAACACCATACCGGCTCAGTTGAAGCCTTGGTTAACAACGACCACTACCGGTGCTGTTGACAAATACCGGTGGAAATTGTGCTTCTGTTAGTCGAAGACCACAAGGAGGGAAATGTGTCAGGAGACAGAGGGAGAAGAGGAAAGTCAAGAATGTAGGACTGAAGGTGGCAACTCTAACAGGCAAAGATAGAGATCTGGCTGACATGATGCTGAGAAGGAAGGTAGATGTTTTATGTGTCCAAGAGACCAAGTGGAAGGACAGCAAGGCTCGCAGCACTGGAACGGGGTTCAAACTGTTTTACCATGGTGTGAATAGAAAGAGAAATGAAGTAGGGGTGGTCCTGAAGGAGGAGTTGGCAAAGAATGTAATAGAGATGAAAAGAGTTTCAGATAGAGTGATGTGTCTGAAGGTGGAAGTAGAAGGTTTGATGCTAAATATTGTCAGTGGTTATGCTCCACAGATTGTATGTGATGGGATGGCATGTGTGGGTTTTCTCTGGGTACTCTGATTTCCTCCCAAAGACCAAAGACATGCATGTTAGGCTGACTTGCAACTACATTATCCCTAGGTGAGAGTGAAAGAGTAAATGGTTGTTTGTCTTGTTTGTCTATGTGTGTCCCTGTCATGGACTGGAGACCTGTCCAGGGTGTACCCCACCTCTCATACAATGATGTATGGATATGGGCACCAGTGACCCCCACGACTGGAAAAGGAAAAAGTGGGTAAAAGGTGATTGATGGATTCATTCAACCTTTATGTATACGGGTTAGTCCCCTTGAGCCTCGGGAACTCATTTACAAGAGAGACCTGAATTTAACAAAGAGTGATGACAATAGTAGACAATCTTAAAAGAAATCATACAAATTGAAAAAAACTAATGAAAGTAAATGGTATTAAAAAACAAAACAAAAACAGCTTGGTTGTAAAGCGATGTAGAAAACTAAAAACAGGAACATGTCTGCATTGGTTTTTCCCAGGAACTTGGCAGATGTTTGAAGCCACTCAGAGAGGTCAAGGTCAAGTGTTTCAGATCTTTGTGCAAGATAGTCCAGGAAATGGGAGCGGAGTAGGAGAAGGTCCTTTTGCCTAGTTCAGTCTGCACTGATGGGACACTGCATGTAATAATGTCCTGAGAGTGCACGCTGTAGCTGCACTCACGCAGTGACATGTAGGAGGAGATGTATGAAGGCAGCAGACCAAGAAGTGATTTAAAGATGAAAATGTACTAGTAAGAGAGTCTGTGCGACGTTAATAATGACTAGTTAACCAGTGAATACAGGGTACAGTGATGGGTGCGATAGTTACAGCCAGTCATGCATCTTGGTGCATCGTGATGGACAGCGTCCAGCATCTTCAGGATACTTGTAGGGTAATTCATGTAAATGTTCCCGTAGTCAAAGGAGTGAAGGAATGTTGCAGTTACAAGGCATTTCCTATCATTCAGAATTAGACAAGATCTGTTTCTGAAAAAGAAACCCATTTAAATTTTCAGTTTCCATAACAAGTTTTCCACATGGAGCTTAACAAAGAGATGCAAATCGACCAATATACCCAAATATGAATATGAGTTTGTCAATTCCTACAAACTGACAAACTCAGTAGGAGCACCATTTGAGGATAAAATCAAACGAAGAGCAGCAGAGACAGACTTCCTGTTAGCAAAAAACATCCATGGATGGATGGATGGATGGATGGATGGATGGATGGATGGATGGATGGATGGATGGACGGATCGATGGCTGGCTGTTAAAGACTCTGGGTGGTAAGAAAGAGCTTCCAAATGACTGGGCTACTACAGCAACAGTAATTAGAGAAAAGTAGGAAGGTAAATCAAGAAAGCTCTCTTCAGGTTGAGGGTGCAGTTCTACCCCAAGTGGAGGAGTTCAAGTGTCTCAGGGTTTTGTTCATGAGATGAGGGGTGAAAGGAGCGTGAGATTGACAGATGGATTGTTGTAGCGTCTGCAGTATTGTGGACTCTGTGCTGGTCCATTGTGGTGAAGAGGGAGCTGAGTTGTAAGTCAAAGCTCTCCATTTACCGGTCGGTCTACATTCCTACCCTCACCTATGGCCACAAACTCTGGGTAGTGACTGAAAGAATGAGATCATGAATACAGGCAGTTGAAATGAGTTTCTAGGAGGTGTGGTATTGCATGAGGATATCTGGAGTCGCAGAGAAGTATGTAAGACTGGTACAGGACATGTATGCGGACAGCAAGACAGTGGTGAGATGTGCTGTAGGGGTGACAGCTTCAAGGTGGAGGTGGGAGTGCATCAAGGATCTGCTCTGAGCCCCTTCTTGTTTGCTCTGGTGATGGACCGACTAACAGATGAGGTCAGGCAGGAATCCCCGTGGACTATGATGTTTGCAGATGACATTGTGATCTGTGGTGAGAACAGGGAACAGGTGGAAGAGAACTTGGAGAGGTGGAGGTATGCACTTGAAAGAAGAGGAAAGAAAGTCAGTCATAAGATGGAGTACATGTGTGTGAATGAGAGGGAGGCCGGTGGAACAGTGAAGCTACAAGGAGCAGAGGTCACAAAGGGGCAGGCCTTCAAGTACTTGGGGTCCACTTTCCAGGAAAATGGGGACTGTGGTAAAGAGGTGAAGAAGAGAGATCAGGCAGGATGGAGTGGATGGAGAAAAGTTTCAGGAGTGATTTGTGATAAAGGGTGACCGTAAAAGTAAAAAAAAAAAAAAAAATGTTTACAAGACCAGCTATGTTGTATGGCCTGGAGACAGAGAAATGGACAAAAAGACAGGAGACAGAACTGGAAGTAGCAGAAATGAAGATGTTGAGGTTCTCCTTAGGAGTGACAAGGATGGAAAAGATTAGGAATGAGATCGTTAGAGGTACAGCACAGGTTGAACATCTGGGAGATAAAGTTAGAGAGGACACACTGAGATGATTTGGACATGTCCAGAGGAGGGACAGTGGGTACATTGATAGAAGGATGTTAGGAATGTGGCTTTAATTTTTTAAATATAAAAGTGGGGGTTACAGCACTGAAACACTGACTTTTTTTGGAAGGCTTATTTATCTAACATGCAGCTGTCAGGAAAAAGACAGAGGAAGGCCAAAGAGGAGATATATGGATGCATTTAGAGAGGACATGAAGGTAGTTGGAGTGAGGACAGGGTGAGATGGAGGAGGATGACTCTCTGTGGAGACCCCTGAAGAGGGAAAAGCTTGAAGAAGAAGCAGCAGCAGGAGGATAAAGTTATTTGTATAACTGTTGTCATCTACATTTCCCCTGTAATTTTAACGGCAATTTAAACTGATCCAAAATCAATTTATTTTATAAAAATTTCAGATAAATACATTTTCATTTTAGCTCAACTTAAAATTCATTTCTGTCTTGAAACAACGACAAAATGTTTACTTCATCAATTTACCAGGAAATTTAGCAGCAACAAGAATAAAAGTTTTTACTTTAGCTTACACCTTTTCACTATTTCTGCTAACAGATGTAAATTTTACCCACCCGACCAATGAGGGGTCCCAAGATGACGTTTCTATGTTCCAGGACCCACTTGTCCTGTAAACACAAAACAATATACAATCTGTTATGTCAGTAATTGAAAAAGGTTTACAAGATATCATCATCTGAACTGTTTATGAAAGAGGAACAACTAGAAAATGCAGACTTTTAGAGGGTTTTGTGTGTGTGTGTGTGTGTGTGTGTGTGGGGGGGGGGGTTAATCCTTACCTTCAGTACTGGTTTCTTCAGTACAACTTCTGTCCTCTTGGTGATGGGTTGCCATGACGACTGTAGATGATGGATCAGCTTTGGGATGCTGCAGAAGCCCTCTCCATCCAGACGGTACAGATTCTACTGACACACAAGGAGAAGCGTTTACAGAGCTGAGCTGGTGTGAATTGAGGAGGAAGAGAAAACTTTTATTTTTTTAAATATTACTTTGATTTGTTGGCATGTTAATGGGGCTTTCATGTCCAGTTAGACAATGTCCACCCTTTATAAGTTTTATTACTTTTTATGAAAACAACATTGTAGAAACATGTTCTATTTCATATAGGCTTTGCAACATTGCACTGGATATTTTTTCTTCTCCTTGTTATAAACTTCTCTTATTTTTGTCTATTGAATTTGGGCTCAAATTGAAGTTACATCATGCCAGAGTGGGAGAAACATACATTTTTTGGTTGACTGACTCTTTGATCTTTATTGTAGCACCTACATTTATTTTAACTGAGAACTCTTGTTGTAGTAATATAGCCGGGAATTGTCCAGTGTTTCAGAAAGTAAGGAGACTGTTTAGTCTGTTGTGCTTTGGAGTGGTCTGCACTCTTTAACTCTTTTAGTTGTCCTCATTTCTTTATTTTTGGTGTGTTTGCAGGAGAATGATCAACTGCATCTGGAAACCATAGCGATCTTTGTCACTGGGAGAGAGGATCCTTTCCATCCACCCAAAGACATCAAGATAATCATTGATGGAACACAGGTCCTGAATGAAGACTCAAACATGGACTAAAGTTTTCAGTCCACTGCGTGCGAGAAGGAACCCACTAGCGAGAGCCTTAAAGTGCTGCACCTATACTCTGAGAATCTGGGGTTACAATACCAACATTTTTAGAGGTTTTCTTCTAACCATCATCCATCCATCCATTATGTTTTTACCCGCTTCTTCCATTTTGGGTCACGGGGGTCGCCGGTGCCCATGTCTGGTAATCACTGTGCGAGGGGCGGGGTACACCCTGGATGGGTCGCAAGTCCATCACAGGGATCTAACCATCATTAAAAACTTTAAAGACTAAAACATTGAATGGTATATAATCAGGTGCCTTTCACGTCAGCATTTTAACTTAAGATTCAATTCAATTCAAATTCAATTTAAAGATACTTTATTAATCCCAGAGGGAAATTAAATAGTAGATTATCTTAAATTGAGTGATGATGATTGAAGTTGGAGTTGTTTTGGTCAAATCCTAAAAATGCCATTGTGAGCGTTATCCCAAAACCTCGCCTGGTCCGTTAACACTCACATTAGGTGTTATGAATGACTCTCAGCTACTACAAAAACAAGTTTTAGCTCAATTTCCTTAAAGGTGACTGAGTTACTGTATATCCATTTTTGGAATATTTGATATTTTGCTAACAAGCAGATGAAGTTGACTCCAATGGGTTACTGGTAAAGTTTTAAATGAGCTGCTTAACCAGGTAGTGCTCAGATTATGTAGTGGGGGTGAGCCTCAGCTACTACCACACCAACGATCAGCTCAGCATCTGTAAAACTGACCCAACCATCGTCGCATTAGCTGCGGCAGCTGTTTCGATCCAGGTCCAAGAGTTCTTCCATTGTAGATATGTGTCTAATGACTTTTTTGTTAATTCATTTAACTGTTCAATTGTTAAGTAATTAATAATTAATTAATTGTTGTTAATTAAAATCTATTTGGTGGTTCATAAGATATTTTGCTAACAAACAACTAAACAACAAACACACACAGACAGGAAAAAAACACCATTGCCTGTCTTTTGCTTTCCAACAGCAGGTGGGAAAAGTGATGTAAGGATGTGAAATGCACACTTGATCTTCAGGAAAGTGTTCTGCTTCGTGCAACTGATTTACTTACGTCCGTGTACTGAATGAGGAAGTGCTTGCAGGATCCGTCCCACTGCACAGACAGCACATAACCGTGCTTTTCCTGACTCTTCCTCACCAAGAAGTCTCCATCGTTCTGCAGCAGCTGCTGGACCTCCAGTCTGGGGATGGCTCCGTGGTACCAGTCCTGCTGTCCCAGAGGACGGTCCACGTACACATCCTGCACAAAGGAGTGGACCTGGTCAACCTGGAGGAGAAGAAAACAGGAACGTTGGTCCAGCTGACAGGAATAACAAAACAATCTAAGAAGGCGTTCAGAGAGATTCTGCAGAGATTAGGTGGAAACACTTCAAAGGAGCGTCGAACCACTCCATCGTTTGTGCCTCCAGGGCAACAAAGTGATGAAAGTTTAGAGGAAGAAGAAGCTCATACAAAAAACATGCTTTTTATAGCTCAAATATATTAAGTCACTATTTAGAGCAAACATAAGTCACTTTTATGATTCACAGGCTGCAGACGTGCCTAAAATCTGGTGAGGTTGTAGCTGCAATTAAGTCCCAACTAATGAAACTCTCAGAAAGTAATTATTATATATACAGCTGGTTAACTTTCAGAGTCAATCGGATTTAAGACTGTGGCCACAGCTAGTTGACCTTGCACAAATCGGGTTAAAATCTGGTCAGTTTTACCGATATTAGATCAAATTTGATGCGATAGTAGCTGACAGTCATTCACAACAGGCTCTCAAAGCACTAACAGAGCTTTCAAAATACTGCAGGAAATCTGGCGCACTATTTCCAAGGTTTGACCAACATGACTGTAAATTATGTCATTTCTCAACATAAGATGATCTGAAACTCTGGCATGAAAGGTGGCGGGCGATATGCATTCCTTTAATAAATACTGATGCTTCAGTTTAAATAGAAACTCACCGACTGAGAAGTAAACTTGAATCTAGATCAGGCAACAACAAAAAAGTGAAAAAGCCTCAAAACATCCCAACGTGCAGTCCGAGTGTAAGAGCTCTGAAGTGTGCAGCTTTTTCTGCAAAATGATTTATTGGTTGTTGTGCAGCGAGAGGATCCAAAAACACTCAGGTACTGCAGAGAGATTTCACTCAGGGAATAGGGACGGGACATTTCCTTCAGGCGGGAACAAGTGTCCTTCGCTCTGAAGCTTGAATGAAGCACAGAGTTAATTCAGACAAATGTTTCTTCTGAAGAGACGTTCCAGCTGAAGGAAGTAAACTTATCTGATAATAATGTAATGAGAATAAATCTCCCTTTGAATATACTGCTGACCTGCTGAACACTGAAATCTGTTTTTTCTCCATTATTGCGTCTATTTTACTCAGTGAAAAATATTAAGCTATAATAAGCTATAAATATTAAGTTTTATTGCCCATTTTTACCATTAAGCAGCAAGAAACACAACAACAGCAGCCTTCTGCTCCTGAAGTCTTAAAACTGGACCTTCACCTGTTGCAGGAGCAGACGGAGCCTGAAGGTAAAAATCAGAGGCCAACTCTGTGGAAAACATTATTAGGTCTGAATTTACAAACCAAGGAAAAACTTTGTAGAAAAAGTTATTTCAGGGTTTTAAAAGGAGGTTCTGTTTATCTCAGAACAGAGAGGAAGAAGTCAGAATGTCAGGGCAACATCTGCTTATTAAAAGGTTCACATTACACATGTTAATCTGTTTAAAACATATTCTGACTGAAGTGCCTTGATAGGTTTGGAGAGATCATGTCTCTCCAGTTTTAGCTTCTCTCCAGTGGCTCCCTGTCAAATTCACAGTAAAAAATTTTAAATCTTATTTCTAACATACAAAGCCCTCAACAACCTAGCTCCATCTCAATATAAATATCTTTCTGTTCCATATTTTACGAACAGAGCACTTCGTTCTCAGACTGCAGGTTTACTTGTGGTTCCTAGAGTAAAGCAGAACGAGAGGCAGATCTTTCAGTTATCAGGCTCCTCTCTTGTGGAACCAACTTCCAGTTTTTGTCAGTGAGCCTAAAACCCTGTCTACTTTTAAAACATGGCTTAACACTTTCCTTTTGTGATGAATTTTTAAGCTTGGCTTGGGTTTCCTGAGCTATAGGCTTAAACTGCTGGAGGACAAATTGACCACATTTCCTCGGTTTTCTGCGGCCTTTACTTGCTCTACTCTCCATGTTAGTGTTCATTAATATTTCTATCATTCACGTGTGTTTTTCATCCTGTAAAAACTTGAACTGAACCAGTTCTGTGTCTGTCTGCGTCGCTTTCCAGTCCTCTAAACCCAAACCCATCGAGGCAGATGGAGGCTCATATCAATTCTGGTTCTGCCGAGGTTGCTTTCTGTTACAAAGGAGTCGTTTCTTTCCACTGTCGCCAATGTGCTGCTCTGAGTGGGGGTTTTGACAAAGTGAAGATTCAACAGATCAATGCCTTCTACTGATCAACATTTCATAATGGTTTGTAGTTTCCCGCCTTGACTTCTGTTGTCCTCCTGTTGTGTTGGTGCGCTAACAGCAAACTGATCTGAAATCAGATGACTTATCCTGACAGGACTTTTAATCTGAGCGGTGGACAGTGACCCGTGCGCTTTCTGCAGAAACTCAGTGTCTCAGCACTGCTCGTCTTTTTCTAACAACGAAATGAAACGCACAAATCATCAGATTTCTTTGCCGTGTTTAAAAATATGAAATCAGAAAGATTTCAGTTAAATCAAATTAACATTTGTCTGCGTAAACACGTCTGTTTTCAGCTGCGCAACTCTTGCATTTTTAAATGTAATATTATACCGAACCTACCTCGTGTTTGGGTTTAAAAAAGCTGCTCAGGTTGTTTATGATGCCATCCTTGAGGATTTTTCCTGGAAACTGATTGTTGTCCTGAAGAGAAAGAAATACGGCACATTGTGAGGGTTAGTGTGAATCTGCTGAAAACACCACGTGTTTCAAGGTTTTCACCAGCATTTTAAAAACCTCACAAAATCTGTTTACATCTCGGTGTGTGGTAACTTATGTTTAACCTACTTTGAAGCTGATTCAAACACACAAAACTGATCAGTCAAAATTTTTATTTCGTGTCAGTTTTCAGGCTGTTTAGTTGACACAGGAAGAATATTCTGATGCGTGCTCAAGGAAGAATAGAGCTATGCTGGAATAATCGTTTTATTTTATGCAATCCATCCTGAAGGAATTATAAGAGCAAACCACAGAGGAACAGTAAAGGTCTGCATAGGGAGAGCGTACGTTGGATGTACTGGATGTGAGTGAAACGGTGTCTGTGTCCAGCCTCAGGGCCAGAGGAGGCTCCTTGGATCCCAGCTGGTCCAGCTTCTCCTTCAGCAGAAGTCTCTGGATGTCCAGCTTGGCCTTGAAGCCTTGGGAGAGAGCAACTTGCTGCCGGCACTCCTCCATGGCATGTCTCTTACTGAACTGGTAAACCCTGCAGGAACAGGATGTAAACATCAGTAAAATGTTCGCTCTGTCTCAGGTTGTTTGTTTCTTAGGTTTAGATTTTATACACTGGGGGCTCAACCTGGCTCGTGAAGCTTTAGATGTAACAAAATAATCAAACTATTTTTTATAGGGTTTTAAAGTAAATCATGCAACATGCATCTAGAGCTTAATCACTAAAATCGATCAAATCTTTATCCTTTGAAAACGTTTCCAATATTTGTTGATCTTGTTTGCAGTTTTTATGAAGACATAAGTTGAGCAACGAGGTAATTTGAGATTTTTTTCTTTATTTTCATAACTTTATCCTGGTTTGTGTCGTGAGGTCTCAATGTTTTTTTTTATATTTTATGTTTCAGTGAGTTTAATTTTCCATTTGTCCTACAAGAAATCCCTAACGTGCAAAAAGAAGTGTCTCTTTTACTCATGAATTCATCCACATTATGTTTTTCACTATGTTAAACACTATAGAGGCTTTGCATATGACTGCAGAAACCCAAGAGGAATGAGAAAAGTCAAAGGTATCAGATGAGACATCTAACGTTGGAGAGGGCAGAGAGGAAATGGTTTGGATCTGTGTGGAGGAGAGGTGCTATAATGGAGCTGTCACGTTTTAGATAAGGTGGCAAAGAAAGATGCAGAAGAGGACAAGAAGATGTGTGAAGTGATGACTCGTGAAAGGTTGAGCTGTGATGAGCAGGAAATGCAGGAGGCAGTTAATGAAGGTCAATAAATCAAAACCTTCCTCAAACTAATGCATGCCGCCCGCCCCCTTTCATGTCAGAGTTCAAACCTGAGATCATTTTATTTTGAAAAAGGACTAAGTTTCATTAAAACGTGTCATTTGATTTGTGAGATAGTTGACTAACAGACAGACAGACGCCCCCTAAACAAATGCAATAATTTATCAGAGATTGAACAGAAACTGAGGAAGTGTTCAGAAAACAGGTGTGCTGATGAACAAACTGGACGAGACGTGAGGAGAGCCGAACATCTGAAGGACAAGACTCGAACATAAAATCCAAACTTGTGACGGGACCAGAGGAGCTTCATGATTACTCCACTGAGTCGCCCCTTAGGTTTTGATTAAAGGTTTGACTCTTTTTTTAAAAATGGGTGAAAAATTAATTCTCTGCATTTTTTCCATCTCACATGTGAGCACACATGCAGGACAGAGGGCTGCCATCTAGGTCAACGGGAGCAGCAAACGCCTTGCTCAAGGGCCCGCAGTGGGGAAAATGAGGGTGGACGCAGGTCTGGGTGCTTCACCTTTTCCAACCAAATGTTTTGTGCTGGTCTGAAGATTTACTTTATTTTCATTGCCATAATAACAGTTCTGGATAGCAACAACATTTTGATGGAGAATCAAACACATTGATACATTAGCACATAGTGGTGTGAAAGAACTTTGCAGGTTCTCATGATCCGTGTAAACACAGATACAGCATCTAAGGACAGGAAAGAAGAAGTGAAAAACTGTAAACAGCCAGATGTTGAAGGGGTAGTAGTTGGTTGCTGCAGCAATGCAATATCCATTTCACAGTTATTGTCATGATGAGATTTGAGATGTAAGGATAATGGGCGGGGTCACAGAGAGATGCTGTTCGTTTAACAGTCTCTCAGCCTGTGGATGCAGACTGTGAGCCATTTTGGTGGTCCTGGCACTGTAGACCGGAACCTTCTGCCTGAGGGTAACAGATGGAATAGACCATGTGCAGGATGTTGTTGACTTCTGTTCATGTTGTTGAACTTGCAGCCTCCGGATTAAATGCTTGCCTTTTCTAACCTCTACACCACCACTCCCCCTTTTTAAAATAAATTTATTCAGCTGCTGTGTGAACAAGAATCACATCCTTATGTCTAACTCCTGTGCTCCAGCATCAACGTGTGGCACGGGGGCTGCACAGCTGGAGAGAGAGTGGTGAAGGCTGCACAGAAGACTGCTGGAGTCAGCCTCCCCACCATCACAGACATCTACACTGCAGGAAGAGGGCCACCTGCATCATGAAGGACCCCACTCACCCAGCACACACACTTTTTGTGTCACTCCCCTCAGGCAGGAGGTTGAGGAGCATTAAGTGCAGAACCACTAGACTGAGGAACAGCTTCTACCCTGAAGCTGTTAGACTCATGAATCCCTAACCCAAATAATCACTGTCATGCCACTTTAAATGGAGATTTGTCACTCTGTGCTGCTGATTATCCATGCTGCTGATTTCTTACCCATACGCTGTTATATTCATACCCACCTGCTCACAACAGACTCATGTTCAGGCTGCTGTTTAATATACCATATTACATGGTATACATTACATATTACATTTTACAGTATTGTTTAGCGTATATCTTAGATCCTACTGTTTCTTATTTTCATCCATCCATCCATTATCTTTTACCCGCTTATTCCATTTTGGGTCACGGGGGTCGCTGGTGCCCATGTCCAGCAATCACTGTGCGAGGGGCGGGGTACACCCTGGATGGGTCGCAAGTCCATCACAGGACACATAGAGACAAACGAGACAAACAACCATTCACTCTCTCACTCACACGTAGGGACAATTTTTAGAGTTACCAATCAGCCTAACATGCATGTTTTTGGTCTGTGGGAGGAAACCGGAGTACCCGGAGTAAACCCACGCATGCACGGAGAGAACATGCAAACTCCACCCAGAAAGGCCCCTGGACCGGGGTTTGAACCAGGGACCTGCTCGCTGAGAGGCAGCAGCTCTACCAGTTGCGCCACCGTGCTGCCTGTTTCTTATTTTTATACTTTATATTTTTTTCTATTTTTAGGTGTAACTGGGACCTTGAGTACACAATTTTGTGCCACCTCATGTACCACATGTGATGCGAATGGCAATAAAGAAGAACCTTACAACAAATTTTCTCTTATTTCTCTTTCTAAAGTAAGAAACCAGGGTTTTTTATGGTGCTTTTTGATAAAAACTAACATTTTACCTTATTTAGTTACCACTATTCTAAAGAAGTATTATAAAATAAACTGACTTTCATTCTATTTACGATACTGAGTTGTTAAAATTCATTAACTCGACAAGGTTTCTGACAGAATCAGCAGTCTGACAGATACAGGAGGTTGCAGCTTTTCCTGCTAATTTACAATTTAAACACACCACAAAGGCAAAGCAACCTCTAACACCCCCAGATGTTACTCCCAGCTGTGCCTGACAACATTTAGAGAATAAAACCAGCAGTTCCTCTTGTCCTTCAGGAGTTTGATGATCAGTCCCCCAGGAGTGCAAACCTCTGAAATCTCATTGAAACTGAGATCCACAACTCCGAACATATTTTGGAAATTATTATTTATAACACCTCCAGTGCCTCCTGAGACCACACTGCTTATTAGTTGTTGCACATTAAGTTCTCCTGTTAGCTCTCAGGTGCCGTTCACACCTGGTGTTAAACATCCATCTTGGGTGGGTACGTCACTAAATGGTCAGCATTTATTTTTTGCACTAAGGCCCCATTTACACGGACACAGTGGGGGTAACGTAGTTGCCATGCCAGGTCATTAGATGGCGCTGTGAATTTTGTATATTCATCTAATCCACATGTGTGCTGCCTGGGACTGCTCAGTAAGGACTCTCCTCCGGTCTGAAAGCCCAGCTAACGACTTAACGACAAGTTGAAGCTGGATTCTGGATACGAGTCGACAAATTTGAAGAGAGATGTTGGAGCAACTATTCACTTAAAATTCCCCTCAGTTCTTATATTTAATCCATTCAATGTTTTAAGCTACGTTAAGCAAAGGAGTGACAGCCTGAACAAGCCAGATAAACAACATGGCGTCAGTACCCAGGATGACAACGGAGAAGAAGGCTCCAGTTCAATTTGCGGTTCGGTTAACGTGTTTTTAATAGTGTGTTCAGTTTTCTTATCAGTGTTTGTGTGACATACAGTTTGAGGTGGTGAATGAATAAATAAAAATCAAACCTGATGTCTTCATTTTCAACTTTAATAACATGAAATATGTTTTGCATCGTTTAAATCGCATAACTTGAATGACATAACGTCCAGATAACTTCATTAGCTCAGATAGCTTTGTTACATCTCCCACCACTAACAGAAACACGATTTATTATTGTTACTGTTAATTATTTAGCACATTTTGTGTGTTATAGTCCAGCGCGACACGTGAAATATGCCTCAACAGGCACGTTGGTGATTTCCAACTGGATGAGACTGGCATCTCTTCCAACACAAACATCGATCACAGCAGCTACACTCCGGGATAGATTAACTACGAGACCCAAAATATATTCCATCGGTCGTAGAAAAGAAAGCAGTTCGTCATACTTCACTGCCATTGTTGATTAAAAATATGTCGTCGATCCGCGTGTGCGTGAAATGTACATCTGTAGTGCGCATGTGGCCGAACCGCAGAGAGCAAGGTGCGGTTTCCCTCAAAATACGTGCCGTGTAATGTGTACCCCCTGATCTTTTGTTTGGATGTTAATTACCCACATTGTATGCAGATAAACACACAGCCACGCCACACAGGGAGCTGTCAGCGAGCAACAAACAAAACGAGATATGTGAGAACAACAAGAGACTTCACAGAGCTCGGTGTCAGAGCAGAGACAATTTAACATAAAAATATCCTCCACAATGAAACAAAGTGCACTGAAAGCCACAAGATGCTTTGAGCAACATCAGTACTGCGTTCAGCAATGTGAATTAAAATTAGAGTGACCACAGTGGGTCCAATCTACGGTGGCCCTAAGGTGTAAATGAACATTTGAAAAAACTGAATTACATTAAGCCAAACAGGAAGTTTTTTTTTTTCTTTTTACTTCAACAGCATAAAACCGAACAACAGAACAATATACAGTATTCATAAATTAATAAAAGTATATCACCACCAAGACACAGTTAGCAGGTTATCCTTTTAACTGTATCTCCGTTGTGTGTGTACCGTATATTGTACTGTCTGTTGTTCGATTTTATGCTGTTAATAAAGTAAAAAAAAAAAATTCCTGTTTGGTTTAATGTGATTCTGTTTTTTTTCAAACGTGATTTCGGCCACTTCCGCTTTGGTTTAATGTAATACAGTTTTTTCAAATGTAGCTGTGATTTTGTTATTTTTGTTGCGTTTTTTCAAATGTTGTTCATTTACACCTTAGGGCCACCGTACCAATCAGCTCTGAAACAATTAGAACAAACTCAAGGAAAACTCACCAGTCTGTTCTCGTAGTTCACTCTGATTAAATCATGACAAACTGAACTTTTTATTAAAGACTAAAACTTTTAGCACTAAAACAACTAAACAAAGCAACTAAAATTGAATTTAAAATTAGTTTAAAGGAACAAAGAGGACGCTCCACTCCTGTCCTCTAACGGTTCTGGGGCTAGCTTTTTGTGGTTTTGTCTTTCTGCTGGACTGATGATTTTTCGGATTACGTCAGAACATGTTTGCAGTTGGTGGTTTTACTGTAATGAGTCAAAATGGTCCCCTGCTGGTTGTCTGTTCCGCCTGCTTCTTTGAGAGATAATCATCTGTTGTTTCTTCTAACCAAGAATCTTTTAATCAATGTTTTGTAGCCACAGTTTTAAAAAGAAACATTTGATTTTAATTTGGCGTAGCGTTCAGCTTTGACCAGGTCTGATCTACAGTAGGAGCACTGGAAGTGCAAAACACAGGCATTACACATGTATTACAGTATTAAAATACTTTATTGTGTGTATATTTGTTTTGTTTAGTATTAAGTTTCAGTTTCAGGTTTTATCGTTCGTGTTAATATATTTTTTTTGTGAAGCCTTTGCTCTATGCTTGGTTCTCGGTTGTGTTATTGTTTCCTGTAGATATTTTAGCTCAGTGCAGCGCTTCTGTCACCTCCAATCAAACGTAAGTCTTTTGTGTATTTGTTATTTTTTCCACCTTGGTTGTGGAAAACCTGGAACTCCTTGCAAAAAAGATCTGAAGTTCTTGACTTTGACCTCTCTAAGGGATTTTAAACAACTGTTAAGTTCAATGTAAAATAAATATTTCTGTTTTTAATATTTTACACGTTTTATAATGTAGCTGTTTTTGTTTCATTTTATATCACTACTTTTCATTTTATATGTTTTTATATGAATGCTTATTGTTGTCTGTACCTCATTTATGGGTTTTGTTTAAAACAGGTCTCTATTGAAAATGAGTCCTCGTGACTCAACGAGACTAACCTGTATAAATAAAGGTTGAATTAAAAATGATGTATCATCAGAATATTCACAAAAACTGAAGTCCAGGTAATAACTTAAGTAGAAGTTTCTAGATTGAGGATCGACGGACTGTATTTAGACGACCAAATGCGTGGCATTAAAACGGACCAAGACCACCTCCTATTGGTTTGAGTGAAAACAGGTTCATTGCGTACTAAGAAAGTTTAGACCTGTATTGAATATACCATGTTTTCCGCCGTACACGCCGCACCGCCCCATAAGTCACATCAGTTCAAATATGTCTAATAAAGTGGAAAAATACATAAATGGGTCACTTCACCGTATAAGTTGCATCTATTATGCGCTGACAACCCGGAAATGTGGGCCGGTGTTGTGCAAAAAGTCGATTGGCTGACAAATGGCGGCAGCGGGAGCGTGCACGGGAGGACTTAAACAATCATTTAACAAGATTAACACTTAAAAACAATTATTTGTTTGTTCAAAATTATAGTAAAGGTGTGTCTTAGTTTAACATTTGTTTAATAAATGCACTCTGACGGTCAAATCAGCTGCATTCGATACATGGAAGTAGGCGCGTGCATGGGAGGACTCGCTGTGCATTTCTTCAAAATTGAACAAGATAACCACCTAAAAACAATTATTTGTTTGCTTGAGTTGAACTTTTACTTAATAAAATACTTTAACAATCAAATCAGCTGCATTTCAAAAGTATTTACTGCCTCGGTGCTCCGTGAGCACGCAGACAAGGAGGAAATCAGGAAGGAGGGACGCTGCACCTTTCTTCAAAACTTAACAAGACAAACACCTAAAACATTTATTTTGTTTGCTCAACATTATAGTAAAGGTGTGTCTCGGTTGAACTTTTACTTAATAAATCCATTTCGCTGCACCGCGAAATGCAGCTGATTTGACGGTTGCTCCAGGCGAGCTGGACGAAGGTGGCATCTATGGCAAGCTGACTGTGTCATTAATAGCCACTTTTACCTATTACATGATACAACGGCATGCCATACTACTCAAGTGCCATCTAGCGGCTGAAAATGGTAGTGTTGGGTATTTTCAGTCAGAGTGTATGAAAACGGTCACATCTCAGCCAAAAATTGGTTAAATAAAACAATAAATATGTCGCTTCGACGTATAAGTCACAGGGCATAAATGGTAAATGGACTGTACCTATATAGTGCCTTTCTATCTTATTTCAAGACACTCAAAGCGCTTTACACTACAATCTGCGTCCTCATTTACCCATTCATCCAGCACTCTACTAGATCTCTACAAAGCCAAATGAACACATCATTCTAATGAGACTATTCAGTGCTTTTAGATCACGTTCATACACTGATGGGACACACATCAGATGCTGTGAGGGATTCAGTGTCTTGCCCAGGGACACTTCAGCATGTGACTGCTGGTGGATTCGAACCCCCAGCTCTTGCATTGAAGGACGACTGCTCTAACCACTCAGCCACAGCCGCCGCATACAAATAATGCAAAAAACCTGCGACTTATAGGGCAAAAAATATGGTATTCAAATGCAAACTAAAAGCTAAAGAGAGCTTAGCGTACCAGGTCTGAACAGGCTCTCAGAGGCCAGACAGACTCAAAGTTCTGCACAGCTACCAAAGGTCAAGAGCATTATTTTAAACCATGTGAGGTGTGAAGTCATCATCACAGCAGGCCTCTCACCTCTGGCCTTTTCTCACACCTTCCTGCTCGTCCTCCAGCTCCAGCTCCAGCTGTTCCACCAACATCTGCTGCGAGCCCAGGGAGTGAGCCAGGTCCAGCAGGTCCTCCTCTATCCCAGTCAGTCTGAAAATAAAAGCAACATAAAAAGAAAGAACACGTGAGGAGAGGAAGTGAAGGAGACGTATAAATAAATGGGGAATTAAAGAAGAGGAAGTTGTAAAGACACATATAAAGGAAACACTAGTTTTGTTATTAGAATGAGAGATTGTGTTTTTTTTTGTCCTCACTTGTGCTGTAAAGTCTCAAGTGTGAGGTCATTCACTTCGATTTCTTTGGGCTTCAGAGTCTCGATGTCCTCCAGAAGGCTGCAGTCGAAGTCTGCACAAGCAGGAATCTCCCCCACAGACCTGAAATCACAGTTTTCTCAGTGAGGAGGGGTTTGAGACTGCAGTGCTGCTGAGGACGAGAGGGGAGCTCTGCCTCCGTCTACCTGTTCTGATGGATGAAGTTCTCGTACTCGCTGTGAGGATTGATGGCTGTCAGAGTGGTGGACATCTCCCTGTGGAGAGTCACCACTTCATGGTGGAGGAGGGTGGAGATGTCGAAGTACTCCTGCAGGATCTCCTTTCTGCAACACAAGTCGAGGAAGGAGAGAGAGGCAAATCTGATTTCAGACCTTTAGATGACATCAAATTCACCCATTTTTTAGAGTTGGCGTCCTAGCGTTCCCTGAAGGTGCATTCAGGTGCGTCTTAATAAAGTAGAATATGATTGAAAAGTTAGTTCATTCCAATAATTTTAAAATTCAAAAAGTTAAACATATTTTATATATCTCCCTGGATGATTGAGCTTACAGACCTTTTTCTGAACCTCTTTGGCCTCGGTTGTCCTCAAGCTGTTTCTGTGAGCAGCAAGTTGGCCTAAAAAATGTGATACTTTTGAGATTCCAACAGGAGGTTGGTTTGAAACACAGTGAAGGCTACCTATGGGACAGATCTGGTTGGCAGGCTGCAGACTGAGGAAGTCCTCTGGATGTGGGTCGAAACTTTCCTCACTTAAAGAAACTGGTCCAGATGTGATGATTTAACCGTTGTTGTTGTTAAACATATATTATACTGATTCATAACACAGATAGATATATGTCAAGCATTTACTCTGATTTAATTATTACAGCTTAACTGAAACTCAAAATTCAGCTCCTCTGAAAATTTGAATTTTTACATAAGGCCAATAAAAAATACTTTTTCATACAGATGGTTTATTGAAAAGTATGTTCATGAAGATTCCCTCGGTACTTGGTTCAAGATGAGAGTTCTGCGATGGAGTTAAACTCAAAGCAGTCTGCTCCTCAGATAAATAATAACTTACTTTTATAAATGTTTCTGCTCGGTGTCCTGAGATGACTTCTGTTGTGACTTGGCGCTATATAAATTAAATGAACTGAACTGATTTGGGGCTGTTTTCACATGAATGACTTCATCTATGTGGCGTTGCATGGAGGCCGTCAGCCTGTGGACCTGCTGAGATGCTGCTTTGATAGAAGCCTTCAGCTGGTCTGCGTTGTTGGGTCTGATCAACAACCCTTTAGAGCCTCTGTGGGTTTAGGCTGTGAGTCCCAGTCATGCGCGGCGATGCCACGGTCATTAAAGCAGGCGTTGGTTTGGCAGAGTGAGCAGAGTCAAGTCCTGCTGGAGAATTAAATTTCACGTCTTCATTAAGTTTGTCTGCAGATGGAAACATGAAGTGTTTTAATATTTCCTGGTAGAAGGCTGAGGCGACTTTGGACTTGATTTTTTTTTTAAAGTCATCTGGAGAACGTCAGCAGATCACATGGTTTATGTTAGACTGAGCAACAGCCCTGTCCTTTACATCCTTAACCCCGGCAACACGTTTGGCATCGTCTCTGGTTTGGTTTGCACTGAAACAGGGAATGGGTCAGTTGTAGAACAGGTCGTGGATCTGTCGATGTGGGGGCTCCAGCTGCAGTCCATGCTTTGTGAACCAGTTGGTCTTAAGTGTTATATTCTAATTTTAAGGTTTTTCTTTTTCCTCTAGGCCATATGTGTCAAACTCAAGACTCGGGGGCACAATGTGGCCCTCGTTGACATCATATCTGGCCCCCAAGATGTTCATTTAAATGTAAAATACTTTTATCACTTTAATTTTTTCCAGTAATCTTTGATTACGATGTCAAACGTGCAACAAAGAACATCAAATGAGACCAATCAAACTCTTGTTGAGGAACCTGCAACCAAGAAAAGATGTTGGATATCTAAATTAAGTTAATGTAGATTGTGAAACAGGCTATTAGTTTGAAAAAGGTTTAAATTTTGGCCCCCTTTTGTAAGTGGGTTTGCCACCCCTGATCTAGGCCATAATCATCAAATCAACAGAAACACTTGACTTATACATCACTCTGTTTGATGAATCTATACATGTCTTGAGTTTCACTTTTTCATGTACCTGTAAAAGTCAAGTTCTGAACTGCATGACCAAAATTTAAATGTTTACACAGGAAATAAATGATGAACGCTGACAACTAAAATCATTATTGAATGGATACTTAACGTACGATGGGTGACAATTAAATATTTTGGATTTTAAAAAGGCAGAAAATGTGAAGATAAAGATGGAAGTGTTCAGAAAACAGATCAGACTGCTGTACAGAAATCAAGTTTCCTCAACATTCTTTTGGAGATTTTGCTGAAAATGAGTTGTGACCTTACAGTATGAGCACCATCTCCTCCTGCAGCGTCTGCAGCGCGCCGAGCAGAGCCGGCTGCATGTGCCCGCAGTGATGCTGATGGTACACCTGAGCGGCTCGCACAGAGAGGACGTACTCATTATGGAGCTCGTGGAGCTTCCCCACAGCCTTGATGTAACGCTCTTTGTTCTTGTCTCGATCCTTATCTGAGCACAAACCAACAGGTTTAAAAGGAAAAAGAAGAAGAAGACACCACAGGGCCTCAGCCTGAAAGTGATTCAGGAAGTGAATATTGTGTGGAAAGCCCACCTTTATTTGAGTCCTGGTACTTTCTCTTCGCCTGAGCTGCATCTTTATGTGCCTGCCTGTAGCTGTTCTTCAGCCGCTCCAGCTCCAAGCAGGTCACCTTAAAATACAGTTTCATAAAATACAAACTTTACCCTAACTGGCCGGTCTTGCAAGGAACATTGCTCCAGTTTTATGAAACAATAAGTTGCTTTGACAACAGCTGCACTTTGGTTTAGTCATGCATCTGTAAATAAAAGTGTGAGTGAATTATTTGAGCTTCTTGGTGCGATGAGTGTGAGATTAACACACACAGACACACACAGGAAGTGGACGGCAGACCTGCACAAACAAACACAAACTAGATGAGGAAATGGTTTGACCTTTGTTGTGGAGCTTGGTAAATGTTTCGACACCCTTGATAGCATCTCTCACACAGCTTCTTTTTTTGTTGCAGCTGTTTCAACCTCATCTGAACATCTAAGTCCTGCAGATCCACAGAGCTCTGCTCAGATAGGTGGGCTTCATTTGCAGCCTGACAGCAAAGTGTTAAAAAAACAACATGCACTCCAGCACGGATCAGTGGACGTGTTGGCAGCGTTTGCTTGATGTAAAACAATAAAAGCCACATGGAGCAGCTACCAGTTTGAAATGACATGAAAAGTGTTTATTTCTTTATTTTTTAACTCGTTGGAGGTTTATCTGACTGGTGCTGATTACAAGCTGCCACCTCAACTGCATCTAAGCTCACTTCCTCTGAAACGTATCAAAACAAATCTAAATGACGTTTTCTGAAAGTGGAAGTCAGATTTTGTGCTTTAATAGTATTTACTGATTATTGCGCATGAACTTTGATGTTCATTTTTATATTTGTTGAGAATTGAAAATAAAACCCCTAGTTAGGACGAGGAGGAGAAAAAGGGGTCTGACTTTAATTGAGCTTTTTTATAACCAGCAGAACAGCATTGTGTGTTACTGTGTGTTACGCTATATGTTTTACTGTGTATTACCCTGTGTGTTACAGTGTGTTACACTGTGTGTGTTATTGTGTGTTACTCTGTGTGTGTTACACTGTGTGTGGTAATGTGTGTTGCATGGCAGCTGAAAAAATGGAACAACTGATTTTTATAAATAAAACCTGCTTCTACATCATTGAGGCTGTGTGGTAATGGAAATATAGAAACACCACTGTGTTTGTGTGTCTGTGTGTGTGTGTGTCTCTGTGCGTGTGTGTGTGTGTGTGTGTGTGTTTGAGCTCCCACCTTGTTGAGCTCCTGCGTCAGCAGGTTCCAGTGCTCGGCGTACGTCTTACGGAGCTGCTGTTTGTCTCTGATGAGCAGAGTCAGTTTGCTGATGGGACCGTCCTGCAGGTCCTCAGAGCGCCTCCTCATGATCTGACTCAGGGACTCCGTCTGCGACACCAGCACCCCCCAGGACTGAAAGACATGAACCAAAAGGTCAGGGGCCACCAGTCGTGTACAAAAATTGTTTCTTCTATCACTTCGTGGGTGAAAACAAACCTGTCGTGGTGCCTTTTCCTCTTAAATGAACACATTAAACATTTATAACACTGTTCAGTGACTGAATTGAAACGTTGGACATTTTTGAAGAATTCATGTGGATGTGCTGGTTAGAGATTCTTGAAGATTAAAAACATAAAGCAGCCTCAGTAACGACAGACTGAAGGAAATGTAATTTTATTGATACTGAAGTTTAAAATAAGAACACAACTGCAACAAATATGAAGCAACAAATATTTGTATTTTAACTGATTCCTTTAGGCTTCTTTAACCCATTAAGACAAAATGGCTTTTTGTTTGAAGAATGTGATCAGATAAGCATGATTTTCTGATCTCATTTGACTCCATGCGTTGCAGGTCAGAGGAGCTCACCTTGTTGAGCTGACTGATGTAATCCAGTCCGGCATGGGTCTGAGGTCGCTCCATCTTCTCCACCATGGCGGTCATTTGGTGCAGCTGCACTGAAAACTCCCGCTCGCTCTTGGCCCTCTGACCCATCCACTTCTTCATGACCTCCATCAGATGAAGCTCTGAGTCCAGCAGCCTCAGGACGGCTGCATGCGCCTGTGGACACCGAAAATCCTCCCCAAATCCCATCTCTGACCGGACCTGGACAGGCTCTCCTCCAGCCTGTGGTTCTGCTGTGAAACCAGCAGCAGCAGAGTGGAGAGCAGAAACTGTTCTGTTGGACCAGTGTCTCTGTGTGTTTCACTTCCCTGTGAAGCAAAAAGAGCTCAGCAGTTCATGTGCGTAGAACTTCCTCATATCTGTTTGAAACCGGTGCTTCTTTCAATTTACAGCATTCAACTTCTGCACAATGACAATTTATCTCCTGATATGACTGTGTATTAGTGCCACGTAAAACTCTGTTTGAGCATAAACATAAAAATAATACAGGAAGAGTTTGCAGTCATTTGAGCTGTGAACATCTTTGTGCACGTCACATCATGACCACTGTTTATCTGTCGCTCTGCTCATCAACACCAGAGTCAATCGGCTGGCTTTTCTACACCTTTTACATTTGTGCTCAAGGTCAGAGTAAAACAACTTTTGCAACAGTTCATTCATAAATGTGTCACATAAATCTAAAGCACTGCATCACTTCTGGAGATTACCTCGTGTCGTAAACCACCACTGAAAATTTTTATCAGTTGGATCAAAGCCAGCGACCTTCATGATGTTTGAATATCTGCATTAAAACATGATTCCATCGACAGGATGGAGGAGGGTTTTTACATGACCCCGCCTTCTAACGCCAGTCTAAACATGATACTAGTGGGAGGTTGGTCTTTGTGAAATAGTCGATCCAACGTGGTATAATAAGACTCAAACACTCAGCTTATTTTGAGCTGAAAAAGACTGAGCAGGTGCAGTCGAGGTTGGAGCGCAATGAATTCAATTCAATTCAGTTCAGTTTATTTCTATAGCACCAACTCCCAACAGAAATTGTCTCAGAGCACTGAACAGAAACATTCACATGCATTATAAAAGCCGATTAATAGAAGTTCTCTATCTGAGGAAGCGGCAGATTGCGCTGAATCTTCACCTTGTCTCAGTCTCCCATCCTGAGCAAGCACAAAGGAGACAGTGGAAAGGAAAAACTCCCTTTGAACAGGAAGAAACCTCCAGTAGAAGCAGGCTCAGGACAAGCAGCCATATGTTTTGACCAGCTGGGGTTTGAGAGGACAGGAAGGAGGAACAACAAACACAGAATGGCAGATCCAGGTGAACTTTCTATAGGAGGAAAGATAAAAAAAAAAACATGTTAAGATAGAAATAATTACAAACGCAAACAGGTGGAGTAGAGCCAGTAAAGACAGCAGCAGAGGGAGGACATGTGGTCAGTTTGTTCTCCAGCAGTCTAAGCCTATAGCAGCATAAGTAAGGGATAGCTCAGGAAACCCAAGCAAACACTAACTATAGGATTTATCAAAAAGGAAAGTTAGTGTGTCAGCCTCATGGACAGAAACTGGAAGTTGGTTCCACAAGAGGGGAGCCTGATAACTGAAAGCTCTGCTTCCCATTCTACTGTTGGAAACTCTAGGAACCACAAGTAAACCTGAAGTCTGAGAGTGAAGTGCTCTGAAATGATGGAACAATAAGATCTGTAATATATGAAGAGGATGATTTACGATCATCATTGTAAAATTTAGTCGGGGAGGGTATTACGACCGACCCTAAGTCCCTCTGAAGCAGCTAACACCAGTAATAAATGAATACAGCCCAAGCATCAGTCTCTTCCTTAACGACGTAACTAAACATGTTGATTTTAAAGGAGACAGTCAGCATAAAATCTGCACATTTCCTCCTCCAGTTTGCATTCTGGATTTGAAAGCCAGCAAGTAGTGGACGGTTTATGACCATGCTGCAATGTATCCCTGCAACCTCAGAGCGGGGAATTATAACCTATTTATTTATACAGATGTTGTACAATATTAAAAAGTCAGCAATAGTTTTCACCACTGTTGAGCAGAATAAACATAGAAGGTGAAATTGGGGAATTTTTTTGTCATTCAACCTTTATTTATACAGACTAATCTCATTGAGCCACGAGGACTCATTTACAGGAGAGACCCGTTCCATGACATGATCAACATAAGTTATAATATCCTGATGCTGCTCAATAAATCATTTTAAAAAAATCTAACAAAGATAAGTCAGATCTTCTGGATGGATTCTTCTTGATGAAGTGTTTCGTCTTTTATCCAAAAGACTTCTTCAGTCTGAGGAGCTGCAATAAGCTAAGTCTTATAAATAGCACCTTCACATAATGGATCAGCCAGTTTGCTGGAGACAGCCAGAACTAGCTGTTCACGTGATCAAGGAGGACCATCAGCCTAACAATTGGTCATTAGTGCCCCGATGGCCGCTTGCTATTCAGAAGGCTGAGTGATGCTAGCAATAATAGCATTGTAAGAGGGGGACAATTAAACATGGATGACCTCCACCCCTGTTTAATGATGGACTGTTTCTTTTCACAAAGATGGCCTCCTTTACTCCTCTCAAACCATTGTTCCTCTCTATCCAGGATGTGAACGTCTTCATCCCTGAAAGAGTGACCGCTGGCCTGGAGATGAGTGTAGACCGCAGAGTCCTGGCCTGATGATGTTGATTTTCTGTGCTGGTCCATCCTTTTGGCCAGTGGCTGTTTAGTTTCCCCGATGTAAGACTGATCACCCTCCTGACACTGAACAACATACACAATATTACTCTGTTTGTGCCTGGGGACTGGATCTTTGGGATGAACCAGTCTTTTCCGTAATGTATTTTGGGGTTTAAAAGCCACTGGGACATTGTGTTTAGAAAATAAACGTCTCAGTTTCTCTGATACCCCCTCAACATATGGAATGACCACTGGTCTGGGTCTGGGTTCCTCCTTTTCACTTGTTGGCTGACTGGAGTCCTGTTTGGGTTTCTTCTCTACTTTCAGGAAGTTCCATTTAGGACATCCACATTGCTCTAGAGCCTGTCTTGTGTGGGATTTCTCCTTCTGCCTGGCTCCCGAGTTAGTGGAGATGCTGTCTGCTCTGTGGTACAGAGTCCTGATGACTCCTAACTTGTGCTCCAGAGGGTGACGGGAGTCAAACTGCAAATACTGGTCTGTGTGGGTGGGTTTGAGGTACACCTCAGTTTGCAAATATCCTCCTTCAGAGAGCTCACAGTTCAAGAAAGCCAAACTGACATTTTTTACATCTTCTTGTATGAACTGCACACCTGTAGGAACCATTTAAAAGTATATAATTTTAGGTCTAGTGCACCACGAGGTGTTCATGGTCAGAAGAGACTTGGCACTATTTAATTTCCATCATCTAGATTTGGAATAGAGTAGCTCACGCTTTGCAGAGATGAGAAACAGGTTCCTGCAAAAGCTTTCCAACCCAGCTTCAACCAAAATACTTAAATCAGAGTTTCGTAAGTTTCAGGTTGAGTCAGACATCTTAACTGATCAGGTCCAACCAAAAACATTTTCTCAGAAGTGCTGAGTGACATTCAAGGATTCAAGGTTCTTTATTGTCATTTGCATCACATGTGGTAAATGAGGTGGAACGAAATTGCTTGCACAGGGTCCCAGTTACATCCAACAAGATTACTGTATAAAATGTAAAAGAGAAACAGTAATAAGATCTAAGATATGAACTAAGAAAAACATTATTTAAATAATACACTAAGCACTAATGGCATAAAAACATTACGCCGAACATCAGCACAAACATGAGTCTGTGAGCAGATGAGCACGAATGAACACAGCAACGTGAAACAGATCAGCAGCAACGTGAAACAGATCAGCAGCAACATGATGTGATTTTTTTTCACAGTGATTATTCTGGCTAGAGATTCATGAGTCTAACAGCCTCAGGGTAGAACTGTTCCTCAGTCTAGTGGTTCTTTAGCTCTTCAGCCTCCTTCCTGAGGGGAGCGGGGCAAAAAGTGTGTGTGCTGGGTGAGTGGGGTCCTTCATGATGCAGGTGGCCCTCTTCAACCTCCTTCCTGAGGGGAGCGGGGCAAAAATTGTGTGTGCTGGGTGAGTGGGGTCCTTCATGATGCAGGTGACCCTCTTCAACCTCCTTCCTGAGGGGAGCGGGGCAAAAAATGTGTGTGCTGGGTGAGTGGGGTCCTTCATGATGCAGGTGGCCCTCTTCAACCTCCTTCCTGAGGGGAGCGGGGCAAAAAGTGTGTGTGCTGGGTGAGTGGGGTCCTTCATGATGCAGGTGGCCCTCTTCAACCTCCTTCCTGAGGGGAGCGGGGCAAAAAGTGTGTGTGCTGGGTGAGTGGGGTCCTTCATGATGCAGGTGGCCCTCTTCAACCTCCTTCCTGAGGGGAGCGGGGCAAAAAGTGTGTGTGCTGGGTGAGTGGGGTCCTTCATGATGCAGGTGGCCCTCTTCCTGGATGTGTAGATGTCTGTGATGGTGGGGAGGCTGACACCGACAGACTTAATTTATCTTATAAATCCTGCAACAAGTTTTCCAAAGAGCAGCACAAGAGCAGCCAGTAACAGCAGTGCACCCCCACTCTGTGTTGAAAGAAAACCTTACTTTTGTGTTCTAACACATTTTTTAAAAATCAGCCAGCAATCTAATACAGATATATTTATTCAATGTTTTCTACTGAGGTTGAAAATTTGATGTTACCTTGTAAAACATCCAGAGCAATATCTTATAATATCTGCAGGAAATCCAGTGAGCTGTGGGTAAAAATATCTCCTCTTCTGCAGTGTCGAGTTGCGCAGGGCTTTCATCAAATGAGCATTTTTCTTTTTATACGTGCTGACATAATGACTTACTTAGTTTTAGGAATGTAGACGGTCGGCCACTGCCCAGGAAATAACCCCGTTCTCAATCTGTATCGCTCTGGATAGGTAGGGGCTAGAGCAACCATTAAATACTGGTTTGGTTTTCTGGTGGCAACTTCAAAACTCTCATGAAAAACATTTTCTGAGGGAACAATCTGAGCTAAAATACCCACTTGTAACTAGACTCTTGGATTTTTAAACAAGAGCATATACTGTAATTGCTGCTCAAACTAATTGTGTGGCTGTGATCTCCCGGTGAAATACATTTTATGCAAGCATGAAAACACTTATATTTTTATGATGATGATACTGGTTAAAGATTTTAACCACTATCAGAGGCTTGAAATATTACATTGTCCAAAATAACCAGATGTATTTTTCCAGGAGGAGAAAATTCATCTTTAAAATAATGAGGCCGATCTTCAACAAACTTTATATTTTTATCCATCTTCTACAGTTCAACACATGGACTGAAAAGATGCATAAGTCTAAACTATATTTGCAGGTACAGAATCAATAATGTGATCATTCCCAAAAACATATTAATAAAAATAGATTTTCCACATCTGTGACGACTACACAAGAATGAGGCGATTTAAGTCCAAGGTCAGATTTAACTTACTTGATCAGAAAGAGTTATTTTCATAGATTTTCAGGAAGCAAAAGGCAAGGTTGTACCGTCAGAGCAGAGTTTTTGTTTGCCTTACGCCACTTGAAGTTATTTTTTAATATTTGATTTAATGTGAAATTTATCCAATGGAAACCTTATGCAGGATTGTACGCTGGGGCGTTTCAATCTGACAGTTTTTCTTACCTTCCAAATGATCCTTTACCAATTCTCTGATGCAGTCAAAGTTGACTTTATCACACAGGTAACAAGTCTGCATGATGCCTTTGGTGTGCAGATCTTGTTTATGCCTAGTCGTAAACACGCACAAGTTAGGATCTGATGATTCAATCTCATCAATACTGTCACTGGACTCGAGTCCCTCACAGAGGAGCTTCTATGGTCATGATGGACCGGAGACCTGCCCAGGGTGTCCCCCACCTCTCACACAGTAACAGTTGGATATGTGCACCAGCGACCCAGAAAGGAAGAAGCAGGTAAAAGATGATGGATGGATGTTCATCAGTAACATGAGGGTGGTAGTGGCTGAGAGAAGAGAGGGGACACATTTCTGTTTTACGGATCAGACACCAAAACTCTTTCCTTTACTTGTAGTCTAATACTTGATTGGCCTTAAGAGGCTGGGTAACGTTTGCTTATTCAATTCAAAATACTTTATTAATCCCAAAGGGAAATTAAATGTTGTTATAACTCATCATCCTGGTTTCTTCAAGAGTTATACAAAGTAGATGCTGATGGCTGTGGGCAGGAAGGATCTGCAGAAGTCCGTACCACAGAGGATCTAAAGAAACTGGCTGCAGATGCTAATCCATCCACCTGGACCCAGCAAGCCTCTTGGTCCTCCTGGGCAGCAGGATCACCTGAATGTTGGGCAGAACTCCTCCCTGAGCGGTGGTCACTCCTCTCAGCAGTTTGTTGAGCTCCTCATCATTGCAGACTGCCAGCTTCAGGTGTTGGAGTAAGATCCTGGTCTTCTTGTTACCATGAACTGCGTTTCCTGCCAACTCCAAGGATCTCAGCAGTCAGTCACTCGAGCACCTCCTCCAGGTAGACGGAGATGCATCCACGGCACCTCCTTTACAACTCAATTGGGATTTGGGTCTGAGGTAATATTTGAGCTTTGAGATGTTAATCAGCTGCTCCCGGTTGTTAAAACCACATTGTTGTCATGGTTACGCTTCATGACAAATGTCCAAAAGTAAAAAAAGTTTCAGTAAAAATCATTCCAGCTGCACAATATTCAACACCAGAGGAAGTAATCATATATAAAAAAAGCCATTTATATCCAGAAAAGAGAGGAAATAAAGTTTTCAAAAGCAATATACCAGATTGAAAGTAACAGCCACTCCAACATGCAGCCACCTTGAGCAGCACACTTCTAGAACATTGTGATATATTAACATATTAAATGGGGTAACACATCATTTAGTGACCTCTAAGATCAGTCTTGAAAAGCAATTCGATTACCTCTGGGTCCAACCCGTGGTCAAGTTGGATTGACACATGTCAAATGTGAGTTTGATGAAATGTGTATTACACTCCCTTATGCGTTTGTTGCAAAGTAGTTTACTTTTGTAAGACCACGCTGTGAATTGAGCCTCACATCATTACTTTTACTCACGGTTTGTGATGGTTTAACCCCTCTGGTAAAAACTCACCGGTGAAATTAAATGGACCAGATCAGCAAAACCCTCTTGAGACGAGGTTATGTTGCGTTCTTGTGAAGGCAGAAGTCAAATGTCTTGATGTAAATGTTGTGGTTTTGTCTTGTATAACTGACCTCAGAGGAGACCGCAGATGTTTGACCACAGCTTCTAAATGAAAGATCGGCGACTAAAAATCACTTTAGGGGAAATAATGTTTTAAATATGATGGGAAATAAAAATGGGTTGATTAATTAAAAAAAAATGTAGCAGCACAATTATTTGATGCCAGAATCACTTCTTTTTTTGCACAAGCCCAACTTTTTCTGGATTGAGGATCAGTTTGTGGCACTGAAACATCATTTACACCTAAACCCCATAAAGTCCTGAGTAAGCAGCCCAAACTTTACAACCAATCTGCTCCCCCGGGCGACCTACATGGCAGCTCTCTGCTCCACACAGAGGGCTGCGGTAGCTCAGAGGCTGCATCAGGAAGGGCATCCAACGTAAAAACAATTGTCAAGTGTTCATGCAAGTGAGTTCACTATGGCGAGCCCTGAGCAAGGGAACGGCCGAACAAAAAGACAATTTTATTTATATATATATAATATATATATATAGTGCAACTTAAAAAAAAATACTAATCCTTTACCACAATATCAGTTCAATAACTAAACAGACTGACCAAATATTTTTTTAATCCAAGTGCATTTTCAGTTTTGAAATAAAGTGCTTTCACTTCAGTACAGTGGCACTTCTCATTCAGCTCTGACAAATGCACATTTACTAAAACAAAGGGACAAAACACGTTTAAATTTGCATAGATCTTTATTTTAGTAGAATCTATAATTGACATCAATTAAATAAAAAGGAGAAAACAAAAGCCCCCAAAAAAACAATCTTTAAATTACAAGAAAAATTACACTGCACCATTCATATAGTAGAAAAATAGGCCTTATATTTTAGAGTTACGTCCCGTGTGAGATACACAGTCTTGTACATTGATCATCGGTCAGAATCTGTAAGGTACCGAGCCCAGCCACAGGTCAGGAACCTCACAGGGAGGCGGGAGGGGGTCGACAGACCGGACCGAGGCTGCGCCGCCGCTCTTCGTCACAAAGTGTTTCAACTTTAACAAACGTGCTGATTCAGCCCTTAAGGTAACGGTGACGGGATACATTCAAGCTCCTCCATCCACAGCTGGACACTCAGGGTGTCCCCGCAGGTTTTCAAACAAGGCAGAGATGACTGAACATTTTCAACACAACATGAACACTTTGAACACAACTGAAGGGGGACGATGGAACCTGAAAGCAACGCGTTCCAGCACTGAGCAGACAGCATTAAAATGATTGTCTTTGGTTCTGCCAAAGATATTGCTCCTATCGAACTACGTGACTTCGTGTGGATCACTTCAGGCCACATCCTAAAGCAGGACAGGAGCAAGAGCGAGCTCCACGCAGGAAACATAGCTCAGCCTTGGAAAGACGAGTCTCACATTTCTGTCAACCTGTGACTGCTTTACTGCCGGTGAAGCAGCCGCGCTATAATAATTAAAAGCTGCTATCCGGGATAACGTGTTCTCTTTTTTTTTAGTGTGCAGTTTACATGGCAGTTACAGCAGCGAGCTAACTGCTAATGGTTCTCAGCAGCGTTGGAAGCACAAACTAATTAATGCTGCTTACTATCAGGATTTTCTGAAAAGTCTAAACCCTTGAATGCAAAGGGTTCACCGGTTCAGAGCTGTAGTGGATACATTAAGATGCAGAAATCATGGTTTCCGTTTAGAGAAAACCTTTAAGGAGCTAAAGCGCAGTACAAGTCTGTCATTATAGCTCCTTTAAATTAAAAAAAAGGCAGCCAGATTAGATTTGGAAGTGACTGTGTTGCTTCATTAGCTCGTTATGTTGTTTACGTTGCACAAAGCGAGGAAGTCAGTAAGATTTTGTGGCTGAAGCCGGAGCCATACAGGGACCAATCCACGCCTAAATGGCAGTAGGCACTAAAGGATCATCGCACCAAGCACTGAAGCCGAGGGCAAATCCATTCTTAGTTTTACTTCTAGTTCATAAAGCAGATGTGCTACATCTGCACTGGCCGTGTGAGGTGAACTCAGCTTCCACATCAATCCGTCTCCTTTTCCTGTGATTTCAGCAGATCCTGCTTTAAAACGATCACTCAAGTTTTACATTTTCTAAATAAGCCGCTATATGCAATTTAGTTTTTATTTAAAATCACATTCAAATGCATATTTACGAGCACATGTAACCCCTCCTGTGCAGGTTTGGTAACACAAGTGGCTAAATTAGGAGCTAAAAACGATTTGCTTGTCGCCCTCAGGACAGAAAATTTGATTGTCAGAGACAAAAACCAGTAAGAGAAGAGAGAAATCACAAGTCCTCCATCATATTTGGGTTGATTTAGCACTTGAATGCCGTGGATGTTTATTCAAGCCTTTTTATTTTAAGAGTCAGTTTCAAAGCCCAGGTGTGACCACGTGTGAATACTGATCATGGAAGGAACTTCAGGGGATGAAGAAGAAGAAATGAATTACAACCACTTCTTCCTTTCCAAAGATTCTCCCAAATCTTTCCCAAACAGCCTTTTCATGTCTAACCCGGAGACGCTCTGACCCCTGCAATGATTCAACAGCCCCTCCGAGCATGAAAGAAACCTCGCTGTATGATACGAGAGCTACATAAAAAGATGAGCAGCTGCAGCTTGCTTCATGCACGCCATCGCCATGACAACCACAAGCTCCACCGGAAAAAAATTAACTCATGGTCTCAACAAAATTTAAAAAAAAATTAAACAAAAGTGGTAAAATGGATATAAAGGATTAAACAATGAGATGCTTATTTCTTATAATAACCAGCCCAGGAGGAAAAAAACAAAACACTTAAGATCAATTCCCTAAAGGTATTATTACAGCCTCCCAGGATAAATCCTTTGCCGCAGTATCATTTGGAGAATAATTGCCGAGTACGCCGACGGGAATATTTAAAATTCAAACCAGATGAAGGATGAGTGCAGAGACTCTGATGGAGCTGTAGGATTTTGTTGTTTTTTTAAACAATACTTGTGTTTGGAAGAGGAGAGGCAGCGAGACGACGGAGGACACCACCCCACAAAGACGGGCTACACATTCCTCCATCCTCACATCGAGTCATTACGACGCGAGGCAGATCTGAACGCTGACGTGCTCCGACAGCAGGGGAGCCTCGGTGTTGTGTTGCCGTTTGCTCCGTTAGGAAATCAATCACAGGTAACTACACCTGTCAGCTGCTTCCACAGGCTCCGCCTTCACACAGACCCAGCAGCTCGTCGGCCGACTCCCGTCTCAACCCCACCAGACGTGGAGGAACGTCTCTGGGAGGGACTGTGCTCCTGGGAGGACCAAGCAGCGTGTGCGCATCTTTTCCGTTTGTTTTTGTGCTCAGGAAGTCGGGAGCAAAACGTAATTATAGTTTGCAAAAACCCAAATAAATTAATTTGATCTTGAACGTCAAAAACAAATATAGCTGGAACTTCTTTAAGTGTAAAGCTTAAAACACTAGTTTTAAAAGTATAAATAATCGATTCTGTTGGGTGTAAATTTTACAATTCTCTCATCAGAAGTGGCGTTTTCTCCCGTCCGACTCAAGAAACGTCAATTTAAGTAAAAAAAAAAAAAGTTTGGACATTTTCACACAGAACCTTAAAAATTTGATTCACTACAAATTAATGAAGTTTTCTGGGTACAGTTTAAATGTCTGATAGTTTGGACAGAACACATTTTTCCAAAGGAAGTGAACGCCTCATAATTCATTTCTTTTTGTTATCAGTTAAAACAGAAAATGAGGACCCACTTTACCATCTTGATAAAAGACGTTCCTCTACTCACTGCTCATCAGATCCAGACACTCATTTAATCAGAAATACACACGCGCGCACACACACACACTCCTACAATCTCATCTGGCTACTGCACTGAGACTAATGAAACGTGAGACAGAAGTTTGGAAACTAAGCAAATAATAATAATTGTCTGTTTACTGCAACAAACAGGAGCTGGATGGAAAATGGACTCTGCACAAACAGACAATCTTCGCGGTTTGGGGGTAAAAGGAGGGAAAGAGCCACTTAGATTGAAATGCACCCGTGTGTGAACACAGCAAAGCTCAGACCATTGTCAGATTTAAGAAACAGCAGCTTCCCATCAGGCCTCCCACAGCAGAGAGGAAGACCAGTTCCTACAGCAGGAAATGGGTGAGAATCTGATGAGAGAAATCAAGAAAACGAACGAGAAGAGACTGAAAGGAGAGAAACCAGCAGCCCTGAATCATCAGACAAATTAGGGATGAACCGATTTAAAAAGCAGAGGAGGAGGAGGAGGAAGGACCTGTGGAGGGATTAAAGAGCACTTTGTGTTTTGATAAAGGCAGTCCTCTCATTGTGGACGTCAAACTCTTCGTTTTCGGAGTCTGTATTGAATCCTTCCTCCCCCCACACTGTCGGGATGCCGCGGTACGACACCACCCGGTTCCCCCCCAGGCTGAAGCCGCCACCGGCCTCCAAAGAGGGCAGCTTGATGTGAGCGCCTGAGCGCAGCTGCAGCAGCAGAAAGATGCCGCCGAAGGTGGCGATGATGGCCATGCAGCTCAGCACAGCGATGACGACGGGCATTCGGGAGCCGAGCTCCAGCTGAGGTCTCAAGTCCCCTGGACCCACCATGAAGCTGCCGGGAGTCTCGCGCATGTATTGACCGCTGTGCATGCAGCTGCCCGGCACGGTGTCCAAGGAGCGGTGAGGAGCGCAGGACAGGCAGGCCTGCGGGCCGAGGCTGCTGCACGTGAGGCAGAGCGGGTGGCACGGCTGGCAGGCTGGGACGGAGGCTGGGAGGATGGCATTCCCAACCGTGTAGCTGAGAGGGTGAGAGCCCACTGCGAAGCCCGGGGGACATTCTTTCACACAGCGCTGCTGAAAGAGGTAGTAGCCCGGATTGCAGTCTGCAGCAGAGAGAAACTGAAATTAGCAGCAGCACACACCGTTTGTTTCTACTGAGCCAGAACCAGAATCTTCACAGTCCAGACTCAGAGTACAACTACAACAAAAACTGTTGAACCCAACATCTCTTTATGTTTTTCTTTTTTTAGTTTAAACACAACTTTGCTTTCATGTAGTCACTGTTACGTATTTTTTTTAACAAACTAAATCTGCACAGAAGTTTTGAGTTACGTTTTTTTTTCCATATTTTGCTTCCAAGGAGAACGACTTTCTTTTAAAGTGGTCAATCAATAGTCCGTCAAGTTTCCCCAAGTAATTTTTCATTGATCCGTTGCTTTTGTCTTTCTAATTTTCTGTCCAATACGTACGACGGAGCTTTAGGACCACGCTAAGAAAAAAACATTAAAAACCATAATGTTACGAGAATAAAGTCATACAAAACTTTTTTTTTTTTTTTTTACAGCTCTCGTTTATTTTATTTTATTTCCACGAGTCGGATCCACGACGCGACCTGTCAATCAATCCAGTAGGCGTGTCAGCAAATGCTCCTTACCTGCAGAGCTGCGCTGCAGACCATCAGAGCGTACCACTTAACTGTGAGCAGGTTCAAAGTCCTGATACTGGTAATAATCTGAAGCTGATGTGCTCACAGATTACCAATTAATTATTTGTAAAACCAATACCAAAACATAACTTAACAAGATGCTCAACATTCTTCATTCTTCATTCAAATGCGGTAAACCTGCTTTATCGTGTCGGAGTTCGGATAATATTACGACTCATTTAGCTTCAGATTGGTCATTTGCTGACACGCCTACTGGATTGATTGACAGGTCGAGTCGTGGATCTGACTCGTGGAAAAACAAACACGAGAGATGCAAAACGTCTCATACGACTTTATTCTCATAATATTAAAACTTTATTTTCGTAATTTTATGGCTTTTAATAATTCTTTTTCTTAGCATGGCCCTAAAGCGCCGTCGTACAAAAAGCACAATTACAACAAAAACTAAAAACTGTTCAACCTAACATCTTTATAATATTTCCCCCCCCCCAACTTTAAACACAACTTTGCTTTCAAATAGTCACTGTTAATTTTTTTTTAAAACAAACTAAATCTGAACAGAAGTTTTGAGTTCTGTCCTTTTTTTCTTCATATTTTGCTTCCAAGGAGCTCGACTTTCTTTTAAAGTGGTCAATTAATAGTCCTTCAAGTTTCCCAACTAACTTTTCTTTCATCGGTTGCTTTTTGCCTTCTAATTTTCCGTCCAGTACGTGACCATTTTAAGATTTTTTTAGTTTTAAGCCACATGACTCTGACCCGAGTATCAGTCATAAAAAGCTCCTAAACTTCAGACACGAACCAGTTTTGTATCACTTGTGAAAGACGACTTTAAATTAGATCTTTAGATACCAGCAGCTCATCAAAGACACCATTTGTTCACATTTATTTAGCTAAATAAGTAACAACTTCCAAAGATAACAAAAAGGACAGCAGTCGATCACAAACAACTCAAAGGATGATGAATCTTTAGATCCTGCTCATGCTTCGATTCGTTTCTCGTTCTTATTCAGACACTCTTCATCTACCGTAGATGCGTTTTTAAAGCCCAACGCCTCTTTCTGGCCCTCCACTTGTCTACACAAAGCACAATTCGTTGTCATCGTCAGGTACAAGGACTGGACAGCAAACGGAGTAAAAAGCAGCCCAAGCTCTGGGAAAACGTCTGAAAGTGCTTGAGAAAGCCTGAGAATCACACGGAGCAGGACGACTACAAAATCGTTTGGCTCATTGGAAGCAAAGTCCACAGAATAAACGGCTTCCAAGCTTCTGCACATCGTTGTGTTTTGTATTGCAAGTGCAGCTCTTCTGGTTGTGAGCCCATAGCCACAGAACAGTGTGTTCTCGTGCAAAAGAAATCATCCTGAAGTGTGAGATGATAATCAAATACGTGATAATTATAATCTCTCGCTGTGTGTGCGCAGTTTTGTTTCAGGTTACCTTGTGGGGACCAATTTTACAAAAAATCATGCACTGTTGGAACCAACTGCTCCTTATGGGGACCAAAGCCAGGTCCCCATAAGGATAAGTCTCGTTGGGGGTTTATTAGGAGTTAGGTTTAGGACTAAGGTGTGAATCGTGGATGGGTTGGGGTTAGGCGTGTACTAGTAATGGTTAGGTTTTGGGTAAGGGTCAGGGTTAGGCTATAGAAAATGAATGGAAGTCAATGCAAAGTCCCCAAAAAGTATGTTTACAACAACGTGTGTGTAGGAACCTCTGACAGCCTGTAGGGGTCAGACTATCACTAAGTCAACATGTATACTGAGTCAGCGCGGGTGTTCAGCGGTAACATTAGACCTCGCCTGTAGCAGTATTTACATTAAGAGGAAACGACCGTGTGAAGACCCTTAAATTAAAACTAGATTAGTGAGGAGACCTGAGGCTAAACTTGTTTCATCTCATCGGTCGTTAGCTCTTCATTTCAAGCTCATACTGCTGTCAAGACAGTTTGGTGTCATAAGGAGCAGAGAAAAGTTCATCAACAGTCGCAGAGCTGAACGATCACGTGTCATGACTGTCACTCCAACCAGCCGCCTCCGTTTGTACGATCCACCCTCTGACCGCTGCCACTTCCTGGAAGGAAAACCAAGAGACTCAAGTCTTACCGATGCATTTCACTTCCAGATCGAGAGTCTTGCAGCCGTCGTCGCTGGACGGAGGCGCTTCAGAAGAGCTGGAAGATGTTGAGCTGGTGCCGTACAGCACCAGGATGAACTGGGTCAGCGTGCCTAAGAGGAGGGATGGGAATAAAAACAGAAATTAGAAGTAGGCCTGTCAGAAACTGTAACGCTCCAGCGCTCCCTGAAGGTTTGATGAATCTATTCGACTGATTCTTCTCATGGAAAATATCTCGGAGACATCGACCTTCAATTTAGGCCCAGCATGAATCCACTCTGTAACCAGGTTGACTTCTTAAGTGCACGTCTTTCAAGAAGCATCCAAGCGTCAGAGCTGATGAGAGGTAAAAAGCCTCAACTCTGCTGATTGGACTTTTCTCAGCTGAGGTTTTACGTTAAGGAGCTGAAAACAGTTGTTAGTGGAAATTAAAAGAGCGAACTGAAAGAGAGCTTTTCACAATATTTTATGCTGCATAGTGTCCTCTTTCTGCTCATGACCCAGAAATTGTTCCATTTCCACCATCCTGATCCAGTTCAATTCCTTAAAACGCACCTTGTGGAGACGAGAACAAAGGAGGCTTCAAGAGGAGCTTAGAGCTAAAAAGAATGGAAAAGTTTTGTTCCTCACAACCGTTCTTAAAGGAAGCAAGGATATGCATTAATGTAACGAAACGCACACAAAGAGCATTTACGTCAGTTTTTTCATGTGCTAGAGGCAGAAAAATCAGGAAAACTGATTTGCTTTAGGGCGTTCCAGGATCATCTCCTGAGAGCGAAGACACCTCGGCTTCAGGAGAAGCTTGATCTCTAATCTCATGAAGCGAACTTTGAACCTTTGAGCTGAGTCGCCGACTCAACAGATTAAAATGTGTTGAATGGAAATAAAAAAAAGGGTGACTTTTCATCAGAGAAAAGTTTAAAGGGCAGTTTTACTTCCAAACAAAAATCGCTGCGTGACATATTTCTGAAGAAACTACCGTATTTTCCGCCGTAAACGTCGCATCAGTCCAAATTTGTCTAATAAAGTGGGAAAATTCATAAATACGTGTCGCTTTGCCGTATAAGTCAGATCTATTATGCGTCACCGCTGACAACCAGGAAATGTGTGCCGGTGTGCCAAAAATCAAATGGCTGCCAAATGGCGGCCGCGGGAGCGTGCACGGTAGGACTTTAACAAGAATTCAACAAGATTAACATTTAAAAACAATTATTTGTTTGCTCGACTTTATAGTAAAGGTGTGTCTCAGTTCAACTTTTACTTAATAAATGCACTTTAATAGTCAAATCAGCTGCATTTCACCGGGGCGGTGCAGCAAAATGAAGCTGATTTGACATTTGCTCCAGGCAAGATGGACAAAGTTGGCAGTCTACGGCAAGCCGACTGCGTCATTAATAGCCATTTTCATTTATTACATGATACAACAGCATGCCACACTACTCGAGTGCCATCTAGAGGCTGAAAATGGTAGTGTTCAATATTTTCAGTCAGAATGAATGAAAATGGTCATATCTCAGTCAAATATTGGTTCATAAATACGAGAATAAATCCCTAAATAAGTCGCTTCGCCGTATAAGTCGCAGGGCATGCAAATTATGCAAAAAAACTGCGACTATAGGCCAAAAATTACTGTAATGGTACGAGAGCTGCTTTACCATAATCACTGGCGCCAGCCACGTTCTCGATCTCCAACGTCCACACTCCGTTGGGGTTCTCATCCCAGGAGTGGGTGGTCATGAAAGCCCAGTCATTGAAGCCCTCTGATGAGTAGTCATGAGGCCTGCAGGAAGTGGAGTGGGCAGGAGAGTAAAACGATTTGTGTTTAATTAACCCATCATTCATGTGCACGTTGTGGTGAAGCGTTTGTACCTGGGGTGGAGCAGGGTGGAGCGTGTGCCAGCAGGACTTATGAGATGGATGGCCAGGTTTCCTCTCCGGTTGTAGGACAGGGTGAGCCGGGCCTGAACGTGCTCCAACGACGTCACGTAGCTGTCCGACCCGATGCAGGCATCCACAGTTTTGTTGATAGACAAACGGCTGCCGATGTTCCTGTAAAATACGAGAAACAAACGGGACATGCTCCGTTAATAACAGATTTTATTGTTTGGTAGATACACGTTTCAGGAAACTGCGTGACATTTTGCTCTCGGCCACAGTGAGAGCCGCTAAGGATGAAGAGTTTGTAGTCTTGAAAAGGATTAGTGCCTGAACCTGTAGCTCCGCTGTTGTCGGACGAGTAAATCACCCGGTCTTTCTTTACTTCACCTCAAATCCTCTTAGGAGATTACACACATCCATAACATTTCCAAGAAGGAGCACAGCGTGCAGTTTTAGTTACACACATGTGATTAAAATACAAACCCGGGCTGTTACGGAGATTGCCCCTTGAGTTTCAGCTCAAACTGATACAACTTAGTAAACACCTTAAACCAACGAAGCAGCCTCACTTAGTTATTTACAAAGTCAGCTTACAGCAGTTATTAGCATTAGACATAAAACGAATCACCCAACTGCTCATAAAAATGCAAATTGACATCCAAGCTGCTTTGAACAAAATGCATGTTTGCAATATGTATATTTATATGCAAACTGGTGGTTCTGTTCAATTTGAAAAAGTAAATTTATTCAAACTGCTGCTGAGGGTAAAGTGTCGGTCAATTTATCGAAGTGGTGCGACTTGGACCAAATAGCTGGAGGAAGAAAAACTTGTTCTCTGCTGCAGAACTGTGCAGTTTGATGGCTCGTGGGCACTGGAAGGAAATAACTGTTGCCAGTAAACTTTTAGGAGCTACGTTGGCTCATATTTAGACAGTGCTGTCTAGCAGTTTACAGTCGTCCCTCGATACTTGGATCGAAAAAGTGGGCGTGGCCAAGAGCACTTGCAGGCGGCAAAGAGCAGCTGAGGCAGGGAGCTGAAATCATGACATTCTGTGCTCGTTTAGAACTTTTCAAGTTCAGAAACATTGTTTAGAATATTTCAAGAGTGTGGGAAGGGTTTAAAACACCTTGGGGCTTCATGGTATGGATCCCCCTCAATAAACGAGGGACTACTGTATCATTTATCACAAGAACCGTTGGATTTTATTATTATTTTCATCACTGGCCATGTTCCACACATATATGATGACATCTCATAAAAAAAAAAATTAAAAAAAACGTTCCTACAGCGTTTCCAAGTTCTCCTTCTTTATCTCTCTTTATTTGCTCAACATGTTTTATACCATCAACTGACTGCTGGTTGACATAAAACATTTGAACTTTGTTCCAGTCCTGAAGTAACACCAGAAATAAATACAGTTAAAACTCAAGAGGACAGCAAACACGGATTTATGTGATCTGCATCGGCTCTGTGAACTTATTTTGGGAAAAGTTTGAATGTTATAAATGTTTATTTGTTTGAACGATTCCTACAAATACGGTTAGAGAAGAGGAATTGTTCTGAAAAGAACCGTGACCAAAAGGTTAAATAAACATTAAACTCCAAATGTAAAGTAGCATAAATCTATAAATTTAACGAATTCTCATTTGTTTAATGAATTTAGCTATTGCAGTTGACCCCACATGCGTATTAAGTGTGCTCAAACATCTATTGCCAACCAAAGATTTTCTTGGAAACTAACTACAGTAGTCCCTCGACTTTGTGGTTCGACTTTCGCAGATTCACTCTTTCATGGGTTTTCATCATAAGATTGTACACGACACACAGCTGGTGATGGGGAAAGACAGACCCCGCCCCCTCCTTTCTCTTTCTGAGGCTGTCACAGCAGAGCAGAGACACACAGCAGCCTGCGTCTCTGCTCTGCTGTGACAGCCTCAGAAAGAGAAAGGAGGGGGTGGGGGTGGAGTCTGTCTTTCCCCATCACTACTGCTCAGGGAGCAGGGATGAACAGATCAGATGAACAAATGTAGAATATCGAAGAAAATGCTTAGGTGGAAAAACAAGAGTTAAATCAGTTTAAAAAGAGAGAGAGAGAATGGCTGAGTGTGGCTCACTCAGGTATAAGATAGACCCCCCGCCCCTCCTTTCTCTTTCTGAGAAGGTGTGTGTCCGTCTTATACATGAGTGAGTCACACGAGCAGCGTGGACTGTTTATTTAAAATAATCAAGCACGACCCGAACCGAGCCTTTAGGAATGAGAGCAGGAACAAGAATGTTGGATACTTCAGGCACGAGGCGATCAGACGATGTGGCAGGGAGGCAGAGACGGGGGAGGGCCAAAGAAGCTCAGCGCACAGGTGCAGCAGGAGGGAGACTGGGAGTGACACAGGTGAGGAGCATGAGTGTGAATGTGGCGGAGAAGTGGGCGTGGCAGAGCGTGGAGATCATGACACGCTGTGCTCTTTTAGAGCGTTCAGGACATTCCAAGAGTGGGAAGGATTTATAAAACTCGCAGGAGTGTCTGCGATAAGTGAGGGACTACTGTAAATACAAATTGATTGGTAACAAAATCTGAAACAATCTTTTTGAATGCTATCCAAGAGCTTCCTGCTGCGGATAACTTCAGTACTTTTTGCATTTTCATGATGACTGGCCAGAAAAAAAAAGAAGACGAAATATCTACAATCTGACATGTTTGTTCAAAGTGACCATGTGTGTTTGTTTACCAATGAAGTCATTCATTTAACCTTTATTTACACAGGCTAGTCTCATTGATGGACAAGTCACAAAGTCACTTTGTTAAAATTCAGGTCTCTCTTGTAAACGAGTCCCCGAGGCTCAATGGGATTAACCTGTAGAAATAAAGGTTGAATGAATGAAATGAACCACAAGGACTCATTTACAAGAAAGACCTGTTCCAGGCAGAACATATAACAACAAAGTACAATAAAAATGCTGTTAAAATAAAAGTAGTGTTATGAAAACAGCTGACGTGACAGAAAACGGGGATTGAGTTGAAAAAAAAAAAAAAACACCAACTTTAAAACTGTTTATTTATTAACCTTTATTTAACCAGGCAAATCCCATTGAGATCACTGAGCCGTCGTGCTGCCAAAGAACTTACTGATCCGGCAGAAGTTTGGTAAAAGCCACGTGTTTGAATGCGGAGCTCTCTCTTTATGGCGCTCCACCGCTCTGCTCCATCACTTGATTCTTTAATATTTATTTATTTATTTCCTTTTTTTTTTTTTTTTTTGCATTTAGCAGCAAATTCATTCCTAATTTTTCAACCAAACATCCGAGATTCTTCGCTTGTCCGGTTCCACCACATTAGTTTACCTAAACACACTTCAGCCAGCATCATGCACGTCAAGTCACATGGCTCAGGCTTATTTGTGGGGGTTGTGTTTTGTTTACACTGAGTGCACACCTGCATTGGTACACATCTGGAAAACTACTGGAGTCAAGTCTTTCAAACTGCACCGTTTGACATCATTTAATGAAACCCCACATTATTGTTTTAGTTTGCAATGAGCACCTTTAAACAGGTACAATGTATATTTCCTGTCAGTAAAATGGTAATTTGAATGGTTTGTTTTTATCCTTAGTGCAACAAAGTGAGTGGACACATCAATGCCTCTTTTATGAATAAAGATAAGAAATCTAGCTGGTATTTATAGTGTGTCTGCAGCCTTACGCTGTTAGATAAATGGTCACAGGAGATCTTCTGTTAACGCTTCGTGCTTTGACAAATCAATTTTCCAAATGTAAGCGGAGAAACTGTCTTAATGATACATTTCAGATCGCAGAGCTTCAAAGTGCTGTCACTCTGAAATTCATAAATAAGCAATTAAATGTCCGTCAAGTCTTTATCATTTCATCACAATACAACAACTGACTGCAGTCTGAATAAATCAGCTGAACTGAGTCACGTGATGTGGAACAGTAATTATAAATAAGGTGATCTGGTTTTTTTAAATAATGACTAGAAGTAGCAAGAAGAAAGAAACCAAAGTGCACCCCCGATTACCATCACGTCTTTCTTGATAAGTAAGACAGCTAAAATACTAAAATGTAAATGAAGTAACGTGCCTTGCCTGCAGCTCCCAGACGCTCAGGCCATCTGCTCCGAGTGTTTCAGTAACAGAGACGAACCTCAGACCCAGAGAGCCGAGTGACAGGGAGCGCATAACGAGGAGGAAATGTCAGACAGAGTTTAGACTCTGACAACAAGAAGCAAAAAAAAAAAAAAAATGGAAGAGGAGGTATAGTACAGTAAAAGAAGACCAAGCAGACATTTCAACAGGCACCCGCCGGCTGCTGAAGACACAACGAGTCACTAAAGCGAAACATAAAATATGCAGAAACCTCAAAGGGGGGCTTGCATTTAAAGATCAATAAGAATGTGGGATATGAAAGGTGAATTAGGTGCCACGGGCCTTCAGGCTTCCCTCTGCCTACATCTTTTCTTCATGCCCTTGGGTCAGATCACATCTATTTTTTCTAACTCGTCGTTCCTTTCAGATTTCAATAACCCTTCCAGAAGGTTTTAGATGTTTGCACACATCCATATAACCTCTGAAAGTTTCTAGAAGGGCAGCGTGATATAAAGAAAGCAAAACGTTTTCAGCACAAACTGACAGAAAATGAACCAGTGTGAGCAGCAGAGGTAAAACTGTGTGAAGTCCCAATGAAAAAGGTGTGTAGTTATAAAGGTAGGTGTTTTAAAGCGTTTCCTCGTGTGCTTTATTCACTAGTAGGTCTGGCACGATAACAAATTTTGCTGGGCGATTAATTGTCTCAGGAATTATTGCGATAAACGATAATATTGATTAGTAATTATTGTCAAATTTAACAAGAAATATGGGTTAATTTGTTTTGAGTTTAGTATCCTTTTTGACCACTGGATGGCAGTATAAGACCGTTTGAACTGAAGGATGGATAGTGAGGGAGCAAGCAGCGTGTTTCTAAGAAAAATGGGAGGGAGGCCCCTTGACGTGACATGGGCTGTATCTACTTACTTTTATTTGGTTCTCAAAATGGCAGATGCTCAGAGTGGTTTGAAATCTTTAGCATAGCATTTGTCACACAAAGCTTTTAATAAAAAAAAAAAAAAAACAGTAAACAAGTTCTCAGCTTATTTTTGCAGAGAAAAACAACTTCTTACACAAAGGCACGAGTTTCAACCGTGAATTTTGGAGCTTCGACAAGACAGAGGTTTTATCCCAAAGTCGATCCGTTAGCTTAGCTCGTAGCTTAGCTTCTCAGCTTAGCTGCTTGTAACGATCCAAAAACGCGATTTTGCACGGTTAAAATGGATTTTAAAGAGAAAAGAGAAAGGGAGGGGTCAGTGAAGAGCACCCAGTGTCTTCAGTAGAAAGAGAGAGACGCGAAGAAACGATAAAGCCAATAAATAAATTTATCATGCGATGAATTTATTTATTGTTTATCGTGACAGGCCTATTCACTAGAACAGTAATCAACATAAAGCAGACAGAAAGTAAAAGCGATCAGAAGCTCTGAAGCACCGGGTTGTGTGTGCATGTGCAGCATACTAACCTCGGCTCAGTGAGAATGGAGATCACACATTTTCTCTGTGGCCCCACGTAACTCCAGGACTTTGCCAGCGACGTAATTGCACTGGCATCAAGCAGACCATATCCATACGAATGACTAACTGCACAAACCAAAGCAACAAAAGAGAGAGGAAAAATTAAATGTCAGAGGAAAGCAGGTGATTATCATTTGTAGGTTTGATCAAACTTCTCTGGAAAGTTTCAGTGAATTTCTAATAAGTGGGGCTCTTTAGGTGCGACATAAACGACTGAATTCACAATTCACTGAAGGAAGAATCATATGGAGGACGGAATGTGACAAAATGAAATAAATACATAATACATACATGGCAAATGTTTCATTTAATTATTAAATACATAATTAAATCATTAAATATACAATTAAATTATTAAATACACCCTTAAATAATAAAATGTACCTTTTAAATTATTTATTTCATGACTTATTTATTTATTTTTGTCACCTTCCACCCTCCAGTGAAACCATGAAATGATGTGAACGGTTAGCCTCACTCGTCAAACTCAGTGGGCGGGACTAACCCTAACCCTGACGCCTGATTGGCTGCTCCTCACAGCAAGCGAAGACAAACTGACCACAGATAATCGATAGACCAGAAAATATATTCTGAAAAAAAAAACTTTAGGAAGCGGTAATTGTGTTTACGTGTATTTGGAATGAAACCTTTTTTCATCAGACCGAAGCAATTTCGCATGCTCAGCGTTAGCCCCGCCCTAGTCCCGCCCACTGAGTTTGATGAGTGAGACCGACAGTTAACACAATTTCATGGTGACACACAAGGGTGGAATGAGACAAAATTAAATAATTGAATAAATCATGTAATAAATAATTTAACTGCATATTTAATGATGTATTTGATAATTAAATGATACATTTTGTTACTGTGTATTTATTTCTTTAACTTTGTCACCTTCCGTCCTCCACAAGCTTGGAAGAAGTTGCAGTACCTTTGCGTCCGACGCCGTTGGTTCTCCAGTCGTTTGCAACCAGGTTAACTGGGCGAGAAGTTCGAACAACCAGATGTTGCATGTCCCTCCAGGTGAGGTTTTTACTGGAAGGTGTGTGTAGACAAGCGCACAATCACAAATAAAAAACACGCATCGTAAGGATCTGGCTGATAAATCAAGCTGAGCCACTAAAACAGATCAAAGCGGTGCCTCTGACACATTCGAACCACAGCTTTCAACCAGCAGGTGGAGCGTTAATTAAAACAATGAGGTTTTAGTCTAATTCTTGCCTGAATTTCATTAAATCTTCCATCAACATGTGCTTTGAGCCCGTTTCTGCTCTTCAGATGAACAATGTGCGCAGAGTAAACCTAACAAAATGAAACTTTGTTTTGGGAGTGATGCAGGCTGAAGATGGAGCAGGCTCAAACAAAGCTCAACAATCTGCCTCTCTGACATCCACCACATGCAGACTTTACATTATGTGGACTTTATTGTAGATTTATTGAAAATAAAGCATTATATGAAGTACATTTACTTTAAATCTTACACTTCAAAAGCACTCCTAATTGGTCTTTTTCTACCACCTCTCTGTTGCAAAATTACTCGCGCTACACGAGGATCAATTGAAACAGTTATTTTGTCCCGCTTTTAGTTCAGCATGACCAGATAAGAACGATTAGTCCTCAGATACTTCGCCTAAAAGCACAGTTTGAATATGTGGCAAAAAGTTTGAAGAACAGGAACTGGAGCTAAACTACAGAGGAAACAGACATCACTGGCAGTTTCTGCTGATTGTAAGAGCTTTAAAAAATATCAACAAAATGATCGAGTACACTGTAAAATATTCATGTTTCTATAATGAGTATTAGCTGTTAGGAAACGTCAGCCTACATGTAGAAACTGATAACAGGACATTATTTAACCTGACCTTTGAAACTGGTTTCAAAACTCAGGTCTCGTTGACCATTTTGACCCAAGGGCTGGAGGAGGGTTCAACTCTGGTTATTGAGCTTTATGCCGGTTATTTAACTGCACAGCCTGATGAGCTAGTTGTATGCGCGTACAGTAGTCCCTAGTTCATCGCAGGGGATCCGTACCCTGAAGCCCCACGAAAAGTGAAAAATGTGAAGTAGGAACAGTACAAGTAGTAAGTAGTATTTGAACACTATGCGACTTTGCAAGTTCTCCCACTTATAAATCATGGAGGGGTCTGAAATTTTCATCTTAGGTGCATGTCCACTGTGAGAGACAATCTAAAAAGAACCAGAAATCACAATGTATGATGTTTTTAATAATTTATTTGTGTGTTACTGCTGCAAATAAGTATTTGAACAGCTGCCAATCAGCTAGTTTTGAATTTCAACAACAAGCTGGTTTATCCACTATGAAAAGGTGCTGAGTTTATTACAGCTCCTCAGACTGAATAAGTCTTTTGGGTAAAAGATGAAACGTTTCAATAATTTTTTTTGTTTAAATTATTTATTTACTTAATCAGTCCAGAAGATCAGACTTGTTAAGATTTTTCTACCTGGATTATTGAGCATGCATCAGAACGTGTGCGTGTTGGTTTTCACGTTTTTTCTTTTTCAGCATTTACTTGGAAATGATTTTTAAAAAGTCAAGACAAATGGGCAAAAATGAAAATGAGGCACTATAGCTGGTGAGCGATGCCGAACTCAGAAAAGTGACGATGAGCGCTTACTTTGCTTCCAGGGCGAGAGCGATGATCCCAGCAGCCAGCGGGGCGGAAGCAGAGGTGCCTGTGTGGGAGTCGGTGCATTTTGATTTCAGGTCTGTAGTTACCTAAAAAAGGAAGCGCACAAAAAGCTCAACTCCAACAATTTATTTCAATGATGTATGTAATATCACTAGAAATGTTAAATCAGGTAAAAAAAAATTTTTTTGTTTTACAAAATGAGCACGAACCTACTAAGTGCACTTGAATTTATCCCACACTTTATGTTTTTGCTAAAGGGTGAAACTGCGTAAAGATGCACGACATGAGAGTAAACGTGAGCGCCGTCAGCCATGACAATCAAACGGGAATATCACGTTCTTCTCTTTAAGGAAGATTTATTCTTAATGTTTTAGAAAGAACAACTTCAGCAGACATCTCCAATAATATGATCCACAGAAGAGAGCCGTGGTTTCACTGAATTTCGCCCGTCGCATAAATGAAACGGTGAATTAATGCAACGAAAATTTAATTTAGTACTTACAAAACTCTGTGCTATAAAATAAATAAAAAACTCAAGTCCAACTGAATGATCCATAAAATAAAATTACTGAGTAACACTGATACAAAAACAGCTGTCAGAATCAGAAATATGATCACCAGTGATTAAACTTTCCCTTTTCCACACGGTAATAAATGAGCAGGAAGAATTTTTTTTATGATTATCGTACTTTCAGAAGTATCAGAATAATACAATTACAACATTAACTGAAAGAACCCAATAAATTAGACTAAAAACAGCCCTTACAGACGTTCAGATCTTCTCTCCTGCATAACAAGCGATTCCAGCATCTCTCCATCACTCCCAGCTTCAATCAGTGACATCATCACTAAACGAGTACAACACAGAAGCACTCCAGGATCAGCTATAAGTCACAGAGATGTCCAACTCTCTGTCTCGCTGTTAGGCTGAATATAAAAAAATATAGACAAGTGCTCAGGTCTGAGGAGGGTTAATGATTCCTAATCATTTTAATGACTCCAAACTGTAAAAAGGTGAAAAAAGTTGCATTGTGATTCATTTAAACTGGTGTATCATAAACATGTTGGTGTGAAGCTGAAAAAAATAAAAATTTTAAGTTTCAATTCGATTCCAAATATCGTCTCCGGGCACATTCACATCCTTCATAAAATGCCAGTTAGTAGAAAGTTATGTATCAAAGGAAGCAGATTGCATCAAATCTCCACTTCATCCCGTTAATCTAACGTTCATCTTCAGCTAATTGTTTCCAAGCTGTTAACATTCTTTGGGCACGTCATGCTTTCCTGAGGGGTCACTGAGGCATTACCAAGGCTGTCAAGAGAAACAATCTGTCTGGTGGACTTCCTTTCAGACATGTTGGGACACTCCTGAACAAAGATGTCCAGAAGACACCTTGACTGGCTGCCTGAATGATTTAAAATGTCTATGTTCTAAGCTGAGGGGCAGCCACTCTGGTCTGAAGTTTGCACTCCTCTGAATGCTTCTAAATCAGGGCTGTTCAACAAAACTGCTCAGGGGGCCGCAGGTTCTGAAAGCCAGCAGCTCGGGGCCGGACATCCAGTGATTAAAATCATAAACCAAAGTTTACAATGATCTGTTACTGGGGGGGGGCGCGATATGGCTCAAACATATCGTGATATTTCAGAGCATTCTGACGATAACAATAAATTTTGTGATACAAAAAAAAAAAACATAATTCATAGTTATTAATTTGACAAAATTAACTTAACATGTTGCTTTGCAGTATTATATAAAAACTAAAAAAAAAGTGTTAATTTTACTGAAACTACTTTATTTAGTAAAGTATTCAGTCTCAAAGTATAAAAATAAAAAATAAATATGATCCTTCTGTTATTTAGATTGAAAAAGTCCGCACAAAATATAGAACAACAAAATCCACCACAAAAACTAAAGTGCAGGTGCAGTTTCCCAAAATAACTAAATAAAATGAAGCTTAAGACCTGTTGAGCATAAATGTAACGTACAACAAAATATATGTTGCCTTTAAATGAGCTATAACTTCCACAACTTAACAAGGTGATCAGCTGACCCTGAAGCTTGTGGTGTTTCAGCTTCCTCTGTTCCTGCAGGAATGATTCATGTCTCTGATCACATGACTCTGTTCTTGGTCCATGGACTGTGGAACTCAAGAGACAGACCTGCACGTGTTTGTACCAGCAGTTTAGAGCGGGGTGGGGGGAGAGAAAAAGGCCGAGCTGCGCTGGTGGGGGGGAGGGAGAGACAGTTGAGCTGTCACTGTCTGTACCTGCAGTTTAGAGCTGGATGGAAAGACGCAGCCGAGGCACGCGTTGTTTGTTTTTAGCATTTTAGCTAGCTAGTATTGTGCACAGCTAATTAGCGTTACGCCAGTACTGACAGGTGGAGGGGCGGCAGTTCAGTTAGGTAGTTCAGCACATTCGGTTCTGTTAACGGGGCGGGGCAAACACAGACTTACTTGCGTCATGAAATTAGCATATCATGATATCATTTATTTTCCCGGGCAAGCTTTTTTTACCGGGATTATTGTGAACGATATGATATGGCTCAGCCCTATCTGTTACCTTTTCGATTTGTTTATTTTATGGCTTTGAATCATAAATGCAATAAATAGAATTCAAAACCAAAACAAAAACAATTTATGAAGTGGGCTGGATTTGCCGCCAGTTGAATAGCCCATCATGTTTTAGAGCAGTGATTCTTAAAATTTTAAACCACAAAATAAAAGTTGCAGAGACTCAGAACTCCAACTGTTGCTGGCTGATACGTACAAACATTGCTACAAAAAAAAAAACTCTTCTAAAGATCAATCATCTATTTTTTAACTCATTTATGACTTCGGTTTTTACCTTTTTTTTTAAACAATTAGGGCTAAATACACTTCAGCAATCATTTTTTAAAGTTAACTTGATTTCTTTAAATCCTGTTAAGATCCCCCCCCCCCCCCCCATGTGGTGTTTCAAGCCCCACAGTAGGGTTAACTTTGGAAAATAGCGCTTTAGGGGATTTCTAACAAAGGATTTTGTTTTTTATTCTGCCAATCCCTTCCTGACCCATGAACAAGCCAAACAGATCAGCAATGCGTGCACTCCAGAAACCAAACAAAAAAAGCTGCAACGCTTCTTTCAGACATTATTGTGGTTTTCAGTTCTGGCAAAACAGGCAGTCCCTGTTTTCCTTCTTTTAAACGTCAGTATTTTCTGGCAGTTATTTGGAACAGTAAACTGCATCGCTAGGTTTAGAATTTTGTAGAAATTCACCCTGAGCAAAGAAAAACTTGCAACAACCTTTTAAAAAAATACAGAGGGAAAAATGGGGGAAATAGTATAATGAAATTTGCGCACTTCGACCATTCTTTCAAGACAAATATATATATATATGTTATATATAGGTCATATATTGGTGACAAAGAGTGCAGATCCACTAAAGTTCATTTTAGAAGCCTGCAGTCTCCTTGTTTCAGCCCAGACGAAGGGAGAAACTCAGACTAAAAGCTGGTGTTTTGTGTGAGGGAAACAAGACGAGGCAAAGACAGAAAGGACACTGCACACAGCCACAACTCACTATCTGTTTCTCATTAAGGTTTCCCGAGCTGTAGGTGGTGGCGAGGGTAGAGGAGCAAGCCTCGCTGTACCAAGGGACGTTGCCGTTTTGTGTGGTGCTGCTGATGGACAGGGTGTAGATGCTGTTGGTGTAGCCGTCACAGTTGCAGCTGTCCTTCTCTCTTCCTCCGTTCCCTGAAGCCCACACAAAAATGGAGCCCAGACCACTGCGACCCTGGTGAGAAAAGAAAAATATATTTAGATAAACGGATAAATGAGAAAAGCACTTCCTCTCATATAATTACGACACAGAGTAACAGTACACAGACAAGAACAAAATCTCATTCCATCTTTAATAAGAGTCCCAATTACAGGAGAGGAAATTCATTACATGGCGCCTTTCAAAAAGGCCCCATTAAAACTCGGCCTACACCACAGAGGCCTGGGTGGTCACTCAGTAAATTGCAACGAGCTAAATATTGCATGACAGCAGTGCAACACAAAGAGGATCAAAATGACAACAGCTCATTGTAATAAATCATCCGAGCTCTCAGCTTTTGAAGTGCAATAATTTTCATCTAAGAGCTGCTTTATTGTATTGAGTGGCACCATCACTCTCTGCACTGATCAATTCCAGCTATGCGCCACCCAAACACTATCTGACAGTGCTGTCACTGTGCCAATTATCCTGGCAGTCAGTGTCAGTGGTTCCAATCAGCTTTATGGCACCAGTCCTAAATGCTGCAGCTCCACAACAAGAGGCCTCGCTCTCTGGATCAAGGGCTTTTTACAAAAAGCAGATGTGACAGTAAAGAATGTAATTTGTATTTTTAATTTGTTGATTTGTAAATTTCTCTTCATTGTGCTAAATAGAAACGGCTGTGATCCACAGCAGGATTGTTGACGTGCCACTGCGCTTCCTTTGTTCTCTAATATTCAGATTGTTGCGTCGTTTGATACCGACAGACAAGTTTTTAAATTATCTTGTAAAATCTTTAAGTGTATCCGTTTATAAAAGCTGTGGTAAATGCTTAACTCAATCTTTTTAAAAGCACATGGGTTATAATAAATAAACAAGGTAGCCAGACTACTAAAAAGTGTCGCCCTTCAGCTGAAACAAATGGCTCGAAGGAAAAAAATAAATAAATAAAACTGATAACATCCAGGGCTGCTTCTATGCATTTTCTCAGATTCTCCTCCCTGGTGGTTTTTAGAGGACATCACTTCCCATTTGTAAATGTCAAGGTCAAAAACCGTTTTGTTCTTCCCACTGGTGTCCTCTCATGCCCGAACAGTTCAATTACTTACAGCTGAAAGGAAGCAACACGCAGGCAGTAAATAACTCTGTCGTACAATCGGACACTCGCCTCTGTGACTCCACGCAGGAAGGCTTCCTTGGCCAGTTTGGCAGGTCCATCAACAGTTTTGCCATCATCCTCTGGGCCCCAACTGGCGCTGTAGATGTCGATGTGTTGGGGATTCAGACTGAGAGACTGGGCCTCCACCATGTCGGTCACCTCTCCGTCCAGCATGCGCACACCTGCAGCCGCAGTACCAAACACACACAAAGTGCTTCTCGTTAGGGATTGTGGAATCATAAAAAAAAGGATGTTCACTTTGTATTTAAATCTCTAATGCATATGTGTCAAACTCAAGGCCCGGGGGCCAAATGTGGCCCTCGTTGACATCTTATCTGGCCCTCAAGATGATATGTGAAAAAATCTTGAATTTTTTCAGTAATCTTTGATTTTGATGTCAAAAGCACAATAGAGAACATCAAATGAGACCAATCAAACTCTTGTTGAGGAAACTGTGACCAAGAAAAGATGTTGGGCATCTGATTTGAGTTAATGTAGTTTTCAAAATTGGCCCTTAGTTTGAAAAAGATTTTAATTTTGGCCCCCCTTTTGTAAGTGAGTTTGACACGCCTGCTCTAATGCATACAAAATATGGAAATCATTAACACTCCAAACTGAGCGTTTTAAAATAAAAAAAGTTACTGAACATCAATGAGAGCTTTTTAAAGGAAATGGCAACAATAATGAATATGAAGTAAACAAACACAATGAGAGAACCCTGTCGTTCTTATCTGCAGTACAGCACTCGCTCTCGTGCTAGGCGGATGCCTCCTCTCCCTCTCCTGCCTTTTTTTTGCTCTCCGTCTGTGTATCGGAGCTCCTATTTACACATCTTCTGAAACAAAAACTACTGTCATGGATCTGGTCAACTGGACTTTCAATGCAATCAACACAACAAAGCGACAGGGTCCTGGAGAGCCCTCATGCCCTGCCAAGACTCACGTGGCAGGATACATCATGGATGTGGGGAGTTTGGGAGCTGATGTGTCTTTTAGTATTGTCCCAGGAGGATGCCAAAGACGTTTATATAATTGGATTCATGATAGCAGGGTTTCTGCTTTCTGGCATCAGCAAATTCCTATGTTATCGGCTATTAAGGAAGACAGTGGCAGCAGTTTCAACAACGGCAAAACTGCCGAGTCTGTGTGAAGGTTTGGTTTGTGCTTTGAGCACTCAAAATCAGCTGATTTACGAGCTAAACCGCAAGATGGAAGCAGAATCGCAGGCCACCTGTGGCTTCTGGGACTCGCCAGCATGTTGGAAACAACCTTGGAGGAGGCTCATAAGCACGGACCAGTAGAATGCCCACTAATCTGGCCATTTTGGATTTTGAAAGTACCAGAAGGACTCAAGGCTGACAAGAAGTTTGCCTAAAAAAAAAAATCAACAATTGTGGCTCATCTGAATCTGACTCCCCCGGTTGGCCTTGAAAACAGGCCGACTTATCAAATTTCTCCTAGGATATGTGTAGACTAAGGAAAAGCTTAATTTATCGCAACCCCCCACCCCAAGAACTTTTGTGAAGGCTTATCAGGACTGCCGGCTGACCAACATCTTATCAGGACTATGGTCTAGCAGGAAGTGCTTCATGGAGAAATCTCACCGTCTTGACATCAAATGCATATGTAATGTGTTTATAAATGAGCTGCTGGTAGTTTTTTGATGTCTTAAATCGTGTCCTGATAGGACAAGGTGTGAAGAGATCTTTTTTTGTAATGCCACTATCCTATCCTCATGGCATTTTCCCCTTTTCTATCTAAAAAGTTTTCTGAAAAGGATAAGGGGCCGCACTCTCAGGAGCAGCAGCAACATGCACTCCGTCCATCTTTCGGACGACTGTACGAACATAACCTCACTGTATTTCAGTACAAGGACAACAAAGCTTATTCTGATCCTACATCTGAAGTACCGGAATGCAGATTTGAAACTTGAAAGTGCACAAAAACATGCAAGAAAAAGCATTATTACAGTGTTTGTTTTTTGTGTGTGTGCATATTTACACATTCATTTACAATGCTATACCGGTGTCATTAGATGTCTGTTTATTGGTGCACAGCTGCTATTTATGTTCTGAGCATCCACCGTGATGCCACTGTGGACCTGAGAATATAATTCAAACTGTATCTCTATTGATTTTCTCCAGTTGGTTGTAAAAGAAAAAGAACAAAGAAATGAGATCAGTTGAATTGTGGGTGAAGCATCTCCTCAAGTGTAGAGCAGACCTCTGGGACTAAAAATTCATCAGGAGATGAAAGCAAACAGTCCTTTGGCTGAAATTAGAGCAGCTCTGAGGGTAAATTGGATCAGATTCTTACTTTCAGAGAAGTGAACAACACGCCCAGAGTTTATTCACGTCATTGACTTCAACTAAACTCATAATACAAAAAAATAAATTTTAAATTTGTATCGGACACTTTGAGAAAAAGAAAAAACTGCACAAAGTTGTGGTTTTTCTAGACAAGTGTCTAAAATGTTCTCTTTTAAACACTACAGACAATGTTGGGGTTCCTTCAAACTAGTTTGTTCTTTTTAAATAACTTAATAAAATTAATTTTGCTATTAAAATCAAATGAGCATCTTGGGCTTTCATACCAGCAGAGACCGATGCAGATGTTGGTGGAAGCCTGATGTTCCTGAGGCTGCACACAAAGTCTAACAATCGTGATTTATGTCAACAGCTGTAAAAGTTAAATATTTAATTTCATCCTGAAGCTTCCTGTAAACTGCTGTGTAAAAATACACACATCACGCTATTACTGTTGTAATTAGGCGACGTCTTTCCTTCTCTGAACTCCAAAAGACAAAGAGCTTGTTTGAACTTAACCGCTTTTGTATCTTCTTATTAAAATATAATTCTACAGTAATTAGTAATTTGATGCTGATGCAGGCCAACAAAAATAAGTTATTTTACCATCTTTAATCGAGGACGCTTTTGATCCAATAGATTAATAATTTAAAATGTGTTGCTTTATATTAAGCTGACAGTCAGGCCCGCGGCAGATAGCAGCCGCAGAAATCACGTACACCACGAGTAATTTATTAAATTATTGCAGTTTTTATTTTTCCTGTTAGTTTCTAAATTAAACTGCATAAAGTGGCTGAGAGTTTAGCTAGCTATCAAGCTAACTGGCTAACTAGCTGAAGCTAACATTTTTCTTTTTTGGCTTGCTAAAGAGAAGCAGCAACTAAGGATTTTAAAAATGGCTGCTGGTTGGATTCTCCTCGTGTCTTTATGTCTGGTATTAATCTATAGAAAATCCAGAGAATAATCCAGCACCCACGTCTATAACTTGAATTGAATCTGCACAGCTGCAGAGGGGAAAGCTTTGCAGAGAGTAGTGAAGGCTGCACAGAAGTCTGTTGGAGTCAGCCTCCCCACCTTCACAAATATCTGCACCTCCAGATGCAGGAAGAGAGCCACCTGCATCAAGAAGGACCCCACTCACCCAGCACACACACTTTTTGCTCCCCTCAGGAAGGAGGTTGAGGAGCATTAGGTGTAGAACCACTAGACTGAGGAACAGCTTCTACCCTGAGGCTGTTAGACTCATGAATCTCTCACCAGGATAATCACTATGAAAAAAACAAAAGGGAAAAATCACTGTGGTGCCACTTTGGGTGGTGGTACGTGGCTTGTCTGTGCTGCTGGTTGCCCGTGCTGCTGATCTCATGCTGCTGATTATCCCATGCTGTCGTGTTCATTCGTACCCATCTGCTTGCCATAATTTTGTTCCACCTCATGTACCACATGTGGTGGAAACGACAGTAAGGTTGACTTGTACTTGAAGGCTTTAGCTTTGAGTTAAGAGTCAAGTTGATGTGATTATTTTCTGAAATTTATTAAATTTTTGGCATTTTTGGATGATGCATATGTTGACACCAGCCAGACTGAATTATCTTGAATCTCTGGAAGAAAGCTTTTGGAAAAAACATTTCTTGTTTTTTGTTGTTTATTGTTTATTATTGCTAGCTACTAAAATTAACGGAGGATATGACTACCAAGAAACCAGTCTCAGATATGGAAGAAGAAGAAAAAAAGGCTGAACTTTATATCAGAGGAACTACGCAAGGTGTTAAAACTGGATTTAGAGAAAGAGCAGCAATTGAAGGCAGTGATTAAAGAAAAAGATAAAAGATCGGGGCGCTGGAAAGGAGAGTGGAAGATCTTAAGCAACATACAAGAATGGATGACCTGGTGATGACGATGAGAGAAAAACCATCGTACCTACGCACGGATCACAGCAGGTGACGAGCAGAGTGAGGATGCAACAAGAACAGAGCTGTACTCATTGGAACTAATTAATAATAAAATCGCAATAATAATATAATAGGTTATTAAGTTAATAAATACCAGTGTCTTTAATCTACAAATCTATTATTCTTCTGCTTTAATATTTAGAGATATTGTGCATCTAAGAACACTGGAAATGCTATATCGAGTTAGCAACAATCGTCTTCCTGCCTGAATTTAAAGTTGTTTTGTTTTTTTTAAGTTAAGGGAAAGTAATTATAATCTACGGTAGTCCTTTATTTTTGAAGTGAGCTAATTAAGAACTACTGTCAGTTACAGATGTGTTTCAGGTTTGGTGTCAAGCTGTGGAACAATTTAAGTGAGGAAATTAAGTTTAAGAAATAAATTAAAATGCAAGTTAATGAAGAGTTACAGGTTATAGTAATAAAAGTTGTGATGATGATGATAATAATAATGCTTGTAATATTAATGGTAATAAAAAATAGTAATGACTTATATTTATATGTATATAAACAAGTGTATATAGGGAGGACCTCATTATTATTGTATATCGTATATTGATATTCTGTTTGGTCCTTTTTATTTAATTTTGTTCGTGTGTGGTTGTTGTTTATGTACATTTTTGTTTTCAGGGGAATCCACAAGGAATTAAAAGAAAAGGTTAAAATCGTCATCTGGACAAGTTTCTTTTAAGATGGATCTGGGTTCACAGGCCTCTGATGAAGTCTTTCAGACGAAAGACGAAACGTTTCTTCCTAAAAGAAACTTGTCCAGATGACATGATTGAACCTTTTTTGTATTTATCTACCTGGATGATTGAACTTACAAACTTTATTATTTAAGGAAATGTGTATTAAGCCTTTGGTTTCTGCCTTTTCTTGGTCATAAAGTGTTTGTTTTGAAACTCTTCTTTGATATGACCAAAATAAACTATCCGCCCATCCATCCATCCATCTGCCCATCCATCCATACACCCACCCACCCAACCATCCATCCATCCAACCAACTAGCCAACCAAACTTCTTTCAGTTCTTACTCCACCAGTTTATCTTTAAGGAAGGAAAACGTCTGCAAACCAAACTAGGGATGTACGATATTATCAGCATGGTATCGGCCGATATTAGCAATAAAGTTCAATATCGGCCATCGGCCATTCCATCAAAATAACTCACCGATATAACAGGCGCCGTTTTTGTATGAAAACCCAGTGACAAGGATGCCTGCAGCGACGGCTCAATGTGATGACGTCACGCGCGCCTACCTGGCCTCACGGCAGAGAGGAAAATTCAATATATTGGCGATGTGGAAGTTTTATTCCGTTGGTGAAGATGTCGGATTCCAAAGATCTATGGACTACGTTGAGCCTCGCTACATCGTCCTCAGTCTGAGATATTTTTTCCAACGTAGACCGAGTTACAAGCCGTCATTCCGACGTCAGTGAGAAGCTAACAGCCGATAACTTGGGTGAGTTTTACCACAAACATTTGGACGTCGTGTTAGCCCCGTTAGCATGATTAGTCTTACTGAACAATGGACAGACAAAAACTTTGAACTTAAAAAGTCTGTCCTTCATGCACAGGAGTGCAGAGGATCCTATGCTGCAGCTATAGGAACCTGGAACAAGCCTCCACAAGTGAGACAGCATCGCAGGTGACTAATGCTAACAAATAACATTTAACACTTTTCATTTAATATAAGTTAAAGTGCTATGGCTGTTACTGAATATATGTCACCAGCTGTTACACAATTTTTGTAGCAAATAAGCCTAAATAAAAGGGCTATGTTCTGACAAAGGAAAGTATATACTGTAAAAATATCGGCATTGGTTATCGGCTAAATAAGTTTTAACATATCGGATATCGGCCAAAAATCCAATACCGTGCATCCCTAAACTAAACTAAAAGGAAAATTAAGTTGGAAACGCAAGAACTGAAAAAAGTTATTTTAATACAGTTACTTGACTTTTGTCAACACAGCAGTGTTACAACATAAACTATCCGCCCATTATTTTCATCAGATAATGACTTTTGTTAACAGTTAATAGTCCAGTATGCTTAACCGGAACTGGAGACTTGAAAACTAAAGAACAAATCTTATAAACCTCCTAAGTGTTTCTTATAAAAATCTTAGCTTTCTGTGACATGGATGATAGTAATCAAAAATATTCGTACAGTTTTGCCTTCATTCTTCTACATAGTAGAAGAATTAAATTCTTAAATGTGCTAAACTTTCCATCTCTAGCTTGTTCCGACTGATTTTACTCAGAAGTTTAAAACAATCCGACACCAGCCGTGAAGCTTATTAATAATGCTTTATACTGAAACAAAGCCAAAACCGACACCAGCAACATCCACATAAATGGCTGCTGCTGGTGTTGGTTTTGTGCTGAAAGCTGTTGACAATGTTTTCCCTTCACTCTGGATAAGATGCAGAACGTGACAAACGAGTTGCACCAGCTTTACATCCAAACTGCGAACAGAGAGCGTGTCTGACACTAAATTAAAGCAGACTGAATCAAAGCTACTGCTCTGTGTCATTTCACAGACTCCATCTCAGAGCTGTTACTCAATGCAAAACCAATACACTTACAGCAAACTGGGGTGATGCTTAAAAAGATTTAGTGACACGCGGAGCCCAAGAAATCAAGTGAAAATAACACAGGCACTGCAGGGCTCGTATTTCATTACACTATTTGACGTATCTGTCAGCTAAAGATATGATTCATCTACATCATACCTCCAATCTTTGCATTGTAGGCTACACCAACTCCGCAGATCCCGTTGTTGGCCACGGCTGCTACTTCTCCTGCACATCTCGTCCCATGCCTGGATAAGAGGAAAAATAAAGTGTGAGGGAAACATCCTTATTCTTGTAATTGACACAGCCTCTTACCGTGCACATACCCACAGGTTGGATAAATGTTTATTAAAGGTCGAAGGGAAAATGATTGGTTTCACCGTGAACTGTGGTCTGGCGGTAGACTGAGACAACACAAACGCATGGAGACAGGCTCTTGGCCCTGATAGCTTTGAACAAACAAATTCATCATCAGTGAACACAATCCATTGTGCATTATCTCCCATTTTGCAGCATTAGTAAACTTGAATTGCGTAAAGTCTGTATAAAGGCAGGGGAAAAAGACAAACCACCTGGGAGGAAGCAGTAAATTAGGTTTGCCATTTTCATTAAACATGAGCCCCTGTGGTAAGACTCAGCTCCAGGCACCGCAGCGTACAGGTCCAAAGAGCTGCTTTAGACGAGCTGATGATCACATTCCAGTCAGGTGTGTTACCCTTTACTGCCAGATATGCACCTCAGTGCCCTCCAAACCAGAGCGCAATCCCTTTAGGCTGCAGCCATTCTAAGACAAGAACGTTGGATCGGGGCAAGTCTTTCACAGCTAAAGGAGCCATCTGAACCAGCAAGTCTCTGCTGACGCATTTTCTGCGGCTTTCAAGCACCGAAAACGCAATACAGTGATTTAAACACCACGAGAGCAGACAATATCCCACACTGATAAAATGGACAGAAAGATGATACGAGGTTGTAGACATTTAATTTGTCTGCCAAAAGTGATTTAACTTGTTATTAATCAGCTCTGCATTGTGTTGTTAGAGGTGCATTTTAAATCAGGACCAAAACAAAGACTGGGGTCAAAGGCCACCGAAGGTCTAAACCGTCTTATGCAACTAATTAAAAGTCAAGACTCGGTTTTATTACAGACCTGATGGACCTGTTATACTGACAGAAGGTTAGAGAATTCCCCAGATATCCATCAGGGCAAAGGTTAATGTCAACGCTGCAATCAACAACTGACACCGACATCTACCAGTGGAGGCAAGGACCTGTTGGAGCACACTAAAATAATTGCTGCTAGATTTAAAAATATCTTTGTGTACAATAAAAGTTAAACACATGGACAAAAAAAACGCGATTTGAGTAATTTTCCACAGAATTTTCCCATAAGTGCTAGTGCACTGACTGTGAATATGAACTTGTGCATCTGTGTTTGTGAGGCAGACAATAAGCAGAAGCCGAGTCTGCAGCCAGACACACACGGACTTATCCTCCTGTGGTCAGCTAAACCTTTTCCTGTCACTTCATGTTTCGTCATGCATTACTTTCAATAACGCAAACTGCGATTAATGATATGTGCAAATGCTTTTAAGAGGTGAAGTTTGGGGGCTTGATTATGCAAGAACCGTTATCCTTATCAGGACGTGGAGATCCTGACACTGAAAAAATGATCAAGTTAACTCAAAATGGTATCTGTTAACTTCTCCCACAGTTTTGATCTTAACATGAATCTTAACATGAAAAACCAAACAACAAAGGACATAAAACTATAGTAGAAACTATAATAATAAAAATTCAGATAAGAATAAAAGCTGGAATACAGTAGTCCCTCGTTTATCGCTGTGGATCGGTACCCAGAAGCCCCGCGGTAAGTGAAAAACAGCGAAGTAGGGATAGTAGTACAAGTAGTAAGTAGTAGTTTATATTAGTATATATATATATATATATATATATATATAGGCATTTTAAACCTTTCCAACACTCTTGCAATATTCTAAACAATGTTTCTAAACTCCAAACGCTCTAAAAGAGCACAGAATGTCATGATTTCCCTCTCTGTGCCTTCGCTACTCTCAGTCACATGTAAACGCTCATGGCCACGCCCACTTTCCCGCTCTGCACGGAGAACAGCTGATCAGCTGTTCAGCTGCAGGAGGAAGCTTATCCTGACTGCATAGGGGTGCAGGAGGTGCTAAATAATTTAAAATAATTCATTTTAAATAAAGATTTGTGTGGCTCATCCATCAATCAGCCCATTGTGTGTCATGTGCAGATTGAATGTTTATTGATTGATGTCAAAAATCACGATTCAAATAAAAGCATGAAAGTTTTTGTTGTTTTTTATCACTTTATTTTTGTGGCCAGGTAGAATAAATGACATATTTATAGATGATAAACTAAAGAAACAAAACATGTTTCAGGGGCGAGTGAAGTTTCCATGTGCGTTTAGAAAACCTTCAACATAGTTTAGCGTTGACTGTATAAATCCAAGGATCTCCACTAGAGAAAACCAGATGTTTGTGGTAGAGAACACCTGTACAAACTATCAGAATAAATTTTAAGCTATTTAAATGGGTTGAGATCTGGTGTGTGAAGGCCATAGCATAGGATTCATTTAATTTTCATTAGCAAAGTATTTTCCGATCCCCTGCGACCTTTAGAAACATGTATTCTGGATACTCTGTTCAGGATGAAAATGTTTTCTGACATGAAAAAAGATTACATTATATGAAAGCAACTCTGTCAAAAAAAAAAACAGCATATCATCTTACTGTAGGGAGGAAACAGTTCAGATGTTTTTCTTATTTTGTCATTGGGTTTTAGGGAAATACCCATGCCAAAAACGAATACAATACAGCCTAAACCATCTAAAATAGAACACTTGCCTATCTTATTAGAAGGTAAGGTAATATCTGTCATCAGGATGGACTATCAGGAAGGTTTGTCTTCCAGAGACAAGTCCTCTGACAAAGAGCAAAATATGAAATAATTAATGTCCTTCATTTGTAAAATACTGAGGCTCTGATGAGATAGACATCACAGAGAAAACATAAAGCTCTGGGTTTAACAAGAGTCAAAGATGTAACAGCATGGCAGAGGAAGTTATGTGGCTCAGTTAAAACTTCTTTAATACCCGACTGATCCAGCAATGTTCAGTCAGGTCATCTGGATGGCTTTTATTTATTTTGCTGAAACATCCAGATGATCTGACTGAACACGGCTGGATTTTTACCTGGATTATTGAGCATGGACTTTGGTGACCTGATCATTTCTCACCCACATTAAAGATCCGTTTAGACGTTATTAGCAGCAGCACTCACTTCATTTTAAAATACACTAATCACCATTTATATCTTAACTTTGTTAAATATGCTCAACGGTAAACTGCTCCAGTAGTTTCGTTTATTTGCTTTAAAGTTTGTCGTAAAGAGTTGTAGCAAGTTTGTGGGAAAGCCATCTGTGTTTGCTACAAACGTTGCACAAATAAATAAATAGAATGCTTTTCAGAAACTTAAAATAGGACTAAAGAGTCTGCAGTTAAGATGAGACAGAACCAACTGAAACGAAACAAACGAGTCACTTTAGTGTTGGTGTACCTGCCCCTGACAGGCCAGCATAATGGAAACCATTTGACTTTTCCAACAATGTTCAGTCAGGTCGTCTGGACAGTTTCTTTTTTTATGTTGAGACGTTTCGCCCTCCATCCAGAAGGCTTCATCAGTCTGAGGAAACACCAAACAAAACTGCTTCTCCCCCAACAGCTTACTCCAAAATGGAAAAAAAACAGTTCTGTTGGTGCTAAGATGGTCTCTGGTGCCCGCCCTCTCCCTCATCGACATGTCAAACTGGTTCAAAACACCAAAGTCCAAGCTCAATAATCCAGGTATAAAATCCAACGTCCATCGTTGGTGTTTCGAACCAGTTTGACACGACTGTTGAGGGAGAGGGCGGGCACTGGAGGAGAGGGTGGGCACTGGAGGAGAGGGCGTGTCCTAGAGACATAACTTAACTGCTGTTTTCCACTTTGGAGAAGGCGGATGGAGGAGAAACAGTTTTGTTTGGTGTTTCCTCAGACTGATGAAGCCTTCCACGATGAACCCTAAAATCGCTGTAACGCCACTTGGTTGTTGAGATGTGCTGCAGACTATCCATGATGCTGATCTCATGCTGCTGATTTATTTCATGTTGCCGTGTTCGTTCGTCCTCGTCTGCTCACACAGACTCGTGTCCGTACTGCTGCTGTTTGGCGCATTGTTTTGTATCATTACTGCTTAGTGTATTCTTAGTTTAGCGTATTTCTTAGTTCATATTTTAGATCTTATTACAGTTTTTCTTTACAATTTGTATTTTTGTTGGATGTAACTGGGACCCTGTGTACATAGTTTCATTCCACTTCATGCATCACTTGTGATGTGAAAGACAAAGAATCTTGAATCCTTCTGGATGGAAGGCGAAACATCTCAGCACAAAAAAAGAAACTGTCCAGATGACCTGACTGAATGTTGGATTTTATACCTGGATTATTGAGCATGGACTTTGGCGTTTTGACTTTTCTTCATTACAGCATCAGTTTTCCACTTCGCTCTCATTTGACTTAAGTTATGGAAAGATGAATGTAATTTGACTAGAAAAGGTTTTTTTTTTGCCTTCAGCTGTTCTCAACAGAGCTTTGATTATATCAAGTAAAAAAGAACAAGAGGCACTTTTTGTTCCTTACAAATTGTACACGCTCTTCAACTTCTCAATGATACAACAGAAAATTGGAGGGAACAGAGGGTAATTTGAGCTAAAGTCTTGTTCCGAACACAACGAGAACAAGCTCCAGCAGAGAGACTTTTAGCACAAAGAGTAACGGGCAGGTTGCCGCAACTATAGCTGACAACAATGATCAGTGGTTACACACACAGCTGGAAAAACCATCATCATTGCACAAAACCTGAACTGCCTTCCTGAGGACGTGCTTAAGAGACGTGCAACTGTCACACATGTCTCCAAACAGGCAAAGTATTTTTATCCACCTGCATTGAGCAAAGAAAACAAAAATAACTTCAAAATCTATTTCTGGCTCCTTGTATAAAAGATATGCCACCAGTCTCCCTGTGGTGCACAAACAAATACACTTTGAGGTAAACATCGTCGCATGCATCTACAGTTGATGAATATTAAATAATTGTGCTTATTGTTATTGAAAATTTAAAGTTAATTATAATGATGTTTGGAGTCATCGATGTTTCCTGTTATTACTAAAAAGTGTGGACTTCGCGGTTCATGTTTCGTGGACTCGCTCTATCACGGTTTTTCAAAATAAGACTGGACATGACACACAACTGGCTGATTGATGGATGAGCCGCACGATGGGCTTGTGATTTTTATTTAAAATTAATTATTTTAAATTATTTAGCACCTGCTGCAGCTTTGTGCAGCCCATACTGCTGGATAAACTTCCTCCTGCAGCTGATCAGCTGTTCTCTGTGCAGAGTGGAGAAGTGGGTGTGGCCAAGAGCGCTTGCAGGTGGCAAAGAGCAGAGGAGGCAGGGAGCTGAAATCATGACATTCTGTGCTCTTTTAAAGCGTTTAGAGTTTAGAAACATTGTTTAGAATATTGCAAGTGTGTGGGAAGGGTTTAAAACACCTTTATATACATACAGTATATATATATATATATTAGGGGTGCACCGATTGCAGTTTTCTAGCCGATCACCGATTTCTAAAAAGTCTGACCTGCCGATTACGATTTTGTAATATAAGCGATCCTGTCAGGTGTTTAAGTCACAATGCACCTTCAATTTTCCATTATTATTTTACTGAAAAACATAACCCTGAACAATATCCTAGAAACAATATAAACTTGTTTTAACCGGCCATGATGTAGTGCTCTGAAATATAAATGAAGTTCAGACAATTGTTGTTAAAAACAAACAAAAAAATCTGTAAAACCGGTTTCTCATGCAAGTATCAGCCGATTTCCGATTTCCCAATTTTATTTTTCCCAAAATTAAGGAAATCGGGGGCCGATAAATCGGTGCACCCCTAATAATACATATATATATATATATATATATATATATACACACACACACACACACAAATAAACTACTAGTTACTACTTGTACTACTACCCCTACTTCATGGTTTTTCACTTATCGCGGGTCTTCAGGGTACGGATCCCCCATGATAAACGAGGGACTTCTGTAATACCCATCTGTTGAATTTTGGACTGTTCTCTGTAAGGCACTGTGTTACAATCTGTTTTCCCAAGTCACTCATCATAATCGGTTGAGTATCAGTTGAATGTATAGGCAGTTGAGTGTATAATCAATATAGTGATTTAAAGGGAGCAGCCAAAAAACTGTTGGGTGGAGAGAGCTGCGTATTGGACCGAGGATCAGGTGCGTCCGTCTCTCTCTCCTGGCAAGGAACAATAAAATACAAATAAGCTGGATTGTGCTTTCTCGTCTTTTATTAATAAGTCTCGATAGAAAATTCCACAACAGTATGAATACTAGTTATGAATTATGCAATACGATGCTTTTTCTCTTTAAAATTTCAATCTCAAAATCGGAGACTTTTCTTTCTGCAGCGTTAGAGCTTAATTACATTAGGAAGAAAAAGAATCGTTGAGGATCTCGAGGCTGAGGATAGTGGTGTTTGCAGTTCATTAGTCTCCTGGCTTCACTAAACCTCAAAGGTAAATCTGAACAAGTGTTTCGCTCTGTTCATTCTCAGGTCGGTTAATGGTCCTGCCAGTTAACTAATGAGCTGGCCTCCAGCACAAAACATCTGATGATGTTTAGAGAGTGCAGAAACGAGAGGTGCATGAAGCACCGCTGCAGAAAATAATTTACGCAGTCTGACGACACTAGCTTGCCGTTTCAAGTTGTGGGATATTTTATCTAGAGCAGTGTGCAGGATGTGTATCTTTTTTTACGTTGCTGTCGCACATGACAATTAGATGAGATTATAAAGTAACTTGTATCGTTCACGTTTCAACATTTGCCCCTGCACTAATTTAAGAAGAAGACTTTAGAAGAAAGATGGTTAAACTGGCACTTTTTTTTGTTCTTCCAGGAAGCATGCATTTAAAAAAATTGTTCTGATAGAGGCCGGAGAAATCCCTGGAAAGAGAAACACCTACGGTAGATCCCATGCTGCTTTAGATAAACATAAGGGTAAATCGGTGCTCAGTGCTGCTTGTATGCTGGGAAAGAACGACGGCTTTATGAAGGCGGACAGAGACGGGTTTTCAGCAGAAAGCACACAGTTACAGTCTCACATAAGCTTACGCCACTTCATGCTCTCCCACAGAACCGCCAGTGTGAAGTAAAGGAAATGGACAAATACTCGCACATATCCAGCCAGAGAGAAACACACAGGGCTGTTTGATAGTTGACATGCGCGATTGTTGAAGAAAGGTTCGTCCAAAGAAAGGAAAACCTCAAAAAGGAAGGTCTTAGCTGGACTTTGTGCCACAAACAGAGCAGCTTAAACCTGCTTTGCCTCTGATTTCAGATGTGCAACGCTGCACAAAACGTGTTCTCCAATAGTTTCTCACACAAAACTTCATCATTTAAGGTGAACGGTGAGAGAAATGTCAGAAAAACTTCAAAACACTCAACTAGTCTGCATTAGAAAGTCATGATGTATTGTGTGCACCATTTCCCTCTTTATAAAAGCATGTACTCCCATTATTGTGTGATTTTAAACAAGTTAACTGCATTTTTGGTTTGAATCATCCTGCCCTGCTTTTAGATATGTCGTAAGCATGGTTACAGTATGCGACGGGTTCCCATATTCACAGAGCCAAATTCAACTCTCTAAGGTTGAGACATCCGAGTTTCATCCAAGCCACATTCTAATCTTCTCTGCTTATCATCAGTAATAACGCAGAGTTTCAAGTTAAACTGATTCTCAGGCCAGGAGCCCAAAGCAGATTACTGCAAATCAAAAATTAAAGTGAAGAAGGAAGACAAGGTGGGACCTTTACAAGCCAAGAGATTTGCAGCTTCATTAATGCTGATGAACTTTATTCAATCCAATTCTCCACAGGGCAGAACAGCGGTGATAAACAACACCCTGATGTCATCTGGAGATGCTGCTGCAATAACGCCGTCTCCTTCACACAGTACTTTAATACCAAAACAGGTCCTCAAGACTGTACAAACAATGTGGTGGCGTTCGTGTTTAACGAAAATAAACGAAATCTGAAAATGTGATGGAGCCAAAAAAAAATCTGGACAAAACTTCGTATGACTTTAGGGCTGGACAATAATTCGATATCGATAATTATCACGATATTTTATTAAATGACGATATGAGTTCTAAGCGCGTTTTCGATATTTCGATACGATTACAGAGTTTCGCTGACGCATTTCTTTTTCTGTTCAGGTTGAAGCGGCCGCTTCAGTTTCAACCCAAACAGAAAAAGTTACACGACACAACTACGTGGGTGCGTGTTGACGTACACCACAGCTCGAAGGAGTCAGCGATAGCAGGCTAGGCTCCAACGAACGGTAAGTTTTCGCTTCAAAATGAGTTCCCATGACCGTCAGAATGCGACTGAACAAGCTTTCACATGCGAAGGGAAAGCAGATGACGTAATTGATAAGAGAGGAAAGACTAACTCGGCGGTGTGGAAGTGGTTCGGCTATCTAAATGTGCCGGAGAGTCGTTCCAACTAGCGGTGGGAACACATCCGACTTGTTCCACTCGATAGAATCTGCTGAGAGTCAGAAGATGAAGCACAATAAAAGTCTGAGCCAACGTGTCCCTGAAACACCCCCAGCTGCATCAAAAGAGAAATCCATTCAAACGCATGGGTTAGGTTATGTTGTTGTTAAAAGTTAAAACTATTAATATTGACAAAGTTGAGAGTTTTACGTTTATTTGACGGTGATTTCAAATTTCTTTGAAGACTATATACAAATAAAAGATGAACATTAATTTATTTGTAGTTTATCTAAGGCTTTTATATTGTTTATATCGTTATCGGAATTATATCGTTATCGACCGAAATTAAGAAATATATCGTGATAAAAGTTTTTGCCATATCGTCCAGCCCTATACGACGTCCTCACAAAGCAGCACAAAAACCAGACTGCTCAAAACAAAAAGAGGAAAGAGCTTCTCATATTTTCAACAGTGAAAAATAACCTAATGCTTTGATTATTCAAACACTAACATAGCTATCAGTCAACAAAGGTGGAAACAAAAACAATCCAAGTTATTTATTACGCATATGATTTCGAAAAATGTATTTTGCAGGAGAAATCAAAAGACAAATAAATGTTGATGTGTTTACCTGTTGTCGTTGAGCTGCGTGTATCGAGGCTGGGGATCTGGGTCGCCATCGTTCACATCGTAACTGGCCTCCGGGTCCTGAAAGAGACAAAAGTGCCGATAGTGTCAGATGTCGAAACGATTGGTTCATTATTATTTAACGAATCAAGTGTTAGACACATAGAAGCCAATTTATTTTCAATTTAAAGTAAAATGCTCTTTTGATGCGTTAGTTTTGATTAGCTTGAGCTCATTCAGCTGTTATACTCACGTAGTTCTGCATCAGGTCCGGATGGTTCTTTTCTATTCCATCATCTAAGATGGACACGACTACACCTTTACCTGTGTAGCCCAACGCCCACGCTCCTTTTGCATTTAAGTCATTGTGGTTGATGTTGTACTGAGGATGAAGAAGGCAAAAAGTTATTTTATATTAAAAAGGAAAAGTGACAGGCAGCAAAAAGTGCATAAGTACCACATTTGCACTCACTGGTCACTTTATTAACCTCCAAGCAAACTAAATTAACGGTGAAGTGGATGATGGTGCACAGTAATCCTCCTGCATGCTTTCTGATAGGCTTTTGACATTTCACTTGACCTTTTATCAGACGTCACGTCTGGCTTTCAAATAGTTCAAAGCTGCTATTTCAAAGTTTACCATTAAAATGTAATGTGCCTGATGTGTCACTCAGAGCTTTTTCCTCTTGGACTGCAACACTTGTATCATGTTATCCCATTGATCAGACAGAATTAAGTTTATTCTTCAACCTTGTAACACCCTTGATACTCGGAACCATGGAGAAAAAGCTGTGATTTGCAATGCAGGGTAAGGCTGAACAAGGTCCTCTCTGGTCGACTTGTTTCATTTTGAATGTTCATCAAGTGAGTGATGCGCCTTCTCCCTTTCAGCGCAACGGCTTTGTCTTTACTTTGAGACATTTTAATGATTTAGTAGTATAAAAATTGCTTAACATGAGCATAGGCCTAAAAGCAACACACTGCCAACAGTCTCCTCTGGTCAGCAAAGTTGGCTATGCTGAAGCTTACAAGGCCAAAAGAGGCGCGGCATGTGTTGAAGCCACCCGACAACCTTGCCTACATGTTTATGCTTCTAATTACATGTGAAGATTTGGAGAGAACACAGTCAGTTACAACTTAAGTATATTGAATGTTGAGGAAATTAAAATTTAGACAAAATTACATTTTTCAGACAATTTTTTTTACGATTGTGTGATTGTCAGACATTTTCATTATGACACTGACAAAAGTGCTATTAAATTTCAAAATAAGCATTTTCTCTTTATTATCAAAAGTGGTGTATAATTTCCGGTGTATAAGCCGCTACTTTTTTCATACGCTTTGGACACTGCGGCTAATTTATGTATTTTTTTATATTTAGCTTCCTGCCACCAAAAACATTTAGCCGTAGCTTCGTCAGCGCAGTTCTCTCCAGTGATTACCGGTAGTTTTATGTTCATTCAGAAAATTGTAGGTTGCTGTATTTAGTAGAGTAACCATGAGTCAGACAGGGTTATGAAGAGCTGTGAGGATCAGCAGTCTGTGCGTGTTGAAAGCAAACCAGAGTCTATGAAACGCCATCTGGTGGTTGATTCTTGTATTGCAACAAGAGCTGCACATTCTGTCAGGAGCTGTGTACAGTTTGTGTTATTAAAATGTGGGCGCTTGCAGCTTATACACAAGCACGGCTTATTTATGTACAAAATTGTGTTTTATTTTAAACTTCGTGTGCACGGCTTGTAGTCAGGTGCGCTCTATAGACTGGAAATTACGGTAAGTTGTGAGTGTTGTCATCTTAGCAGAATGTATTACCACTAGTAACACTACAGGCCGTGCTGGTCTGTTTCTACTCGTCTTGTCAAGGTACCACTAACTAACTAACTACTAGAACTCGTGGGGAGCGCAGTCTGCTAAAGTGCATCTATTCTAAGGAATGGTTGATGCGAGTCTGTTTTGCATCACCATGAATCATCTGCAGCCTGCAGCAACCTCGCAGTAATTGAAGTGAGGAGCTGAGCAGAAAGTCTCAAGAGTTGTTACCGCTGCTTTTAACAGGCCAGTGTATCAATTCCTCAAGTCAAATGCAAAAATCAATCCAATAAAAACAAGACCACTTCAAGATCAATCACCCCTTCCTCGGTCTGCGTTCCCTTTTTGTTGCAGCTGTTTATGAACTACAGTAAACCCTCACTTTCCACGAGCATGCCTCTCATAATTCAAGTTTGATCTTTATGAACGCACGGATACGATGATGGAAGCAGAATCCTTTTTGACACCTTCCTGCCTTGTTAACAGGATTCCACACAAAAGCCTTATTGTAAATTTGTTAGAGATGCCTTTTGACTCCGTTTAAAATACTTTACATTTATAAATTAGTTTTGCTGTATTGACTTGGGGCAGTGCAGGTAGGATGTGTCTCGGCAACACACAACACATAAAACTTAGTTCAGTCAGATTTTGTTGTGCAGTGTTCATACTCACCAGGTACCACTGGTCTCTATACTTGGGGTCAATAAATTCTACAATGGTATCCCTCTTTTTCCTCCGTTTCGACACCTGTTGCTCTGCCCAAGTGACCTAAGCACAGAGGATGCAAATACACAAGGAGTTAATAAATACACGTCGACTTCTTCCACTCGAACATGAAAAAGACATTAAATAATTATGCACCATCCATGAGTGTCATCATGTCAAATTAATTATTAGAGATCCTAATGCTCAGTGGGATGACAGATGACGAGAATGAGATTAGAGGCACAGGAGCATGGCAGACTCCTCACTAATGAGACTCGCTGCTGAATTCCAGAGCAGGCCAAGACTCATTAAAATTTTGGGTTGGTGTAAAATGCAGAGCATCAGGAGCTATGTGCATAAACACACTTACAAACTATGCATACAAAAAAAAAAAAGGTATCATTTTAGCATGCATAACAATACAACCGTCTGCAGCAGGCCTTCACAATGTGGGAACACTTTCAGAAATTGTTGACAGAAGCAGAAGGCATACAGTGAAAATAACCCTGAATGCTGCTCCCTCCGTTGCCTTGTGCTCGCAGTACAGCAGAACACCTGGGTACACAAGCTGCGCAGAAAAACATGTTGGAGAAGGTAGATAGAAAACTGCCTGCTGCAAGGACGGAGCACCTGAAGTGAAGGGCAACTAAATTACAGCGCATCTCTCTGCAGATCACAGGAGACACGAGTGAACGAGGTAATGAAGGTCACATTAACTGAAACACTGAAGCCAGTTCAGCACAAAAAAAAGCATCACTTCAAAGGACAGAGAGGTTTATGTCGAAGTTCAAACTCTAAGTGGAGATTTTGTTTGTATTTCTGATTCTTGCTGCAAAAATCAAGGGAGTTGTGTGTGGCAGCTTAGGCATAAAAACCAAATGACTGCTTTCTCACCAAACGTGCAATTAGTGGACCTACAGTTAAAGACCCAGACACACGTCGACAGTGGATGTTGGCAGACACAGTTGCTGGTAACTTCATGCTGACGGCACTTGTGTATTTTGTGGCTAAATGAGAGGGAATAACCAGTATGTTGCACAGAAAAGTTCACAGGTAGAAATAAAACAAAAACCACTTTCACACATTTATGAACCCAACACCTTGAAGCCCACAGCCAAAAATCATTACAAGTACTGGTATGACTGAACAAACAAACCAAAAAACATTCTCCTCCTCCTCATACAGTCAAATAGAGCCTTGTAAATCTGCAGCACCCCGGACACTTATGCATATGTATATGCATGTATATGTGTATGCATGTATATAAATACACTACATTGACAAAAGTATTCACTCACCTGCCTTGATTCACATGAGCTTAAGTGACATCCCATTCCTAATCCATAGGGTTCAAAATGACGTTGGTCCACCCTTTGCAGCTAGAACAGCTTCAACTGTTCTGGGAAGGCTGTCCACAAGGTTTAGGAGTGTGTTTATGGGGATCTTTGACCGTTCTTCCAGATGTGCATTTGTGAGGTCACATACTGATGTTGGACGAGAAGGCCTGACTCTCAGTCTCCGCTCTAATTCATCCCAAAGGGTTAAGGTCAGGACTCTGTGCAGGCCAGTCAAGTTCATCCACACCACACTCTGCATCCATGTCTTTATGGACCTTGCTTTGTGCACCGGTGCACAGTCACGTTGGAAGAGCCAACTAGAGGACGAGTTCCAAACTGTTCCCACAAAGTTGGGAGCATGGAATTGTCCAAAATGTCTTGGTCTGCTGAAGCAGTCAGAGTTCCTTTCACTGGAACTAAGGGGCCAAGCCCAGCTCCTGATAAACAGCTCCACACCTTAATCCCCCCTCCACCAAACTTTACACTTGGCACAATGCGGTCAGACAAGTACCGTTCTCCTGGCAACCACCAAACCCAGACTCGTCCATCAGATTGCCAGATGAAGAAGCGCGATTCTTCACTCCAGAGAACGCACCTCCACTGCTCTAGAGTCCAGTGGGGGCGTGCTCTACACCACTGCATCCGACGCTTTGCGTTGCACTTGGTGATGTATGGCTTGGATGCAGCTGCTCGACCATGGAAACCCATTCCATGAAGCTCTCTGCGCACTGTTCTTGAGCTAATCTGAAGGCCCCGTGAAGTTTGGAGCTCTGTAGTGATCGACTCTGCAGAAAGTTGGCGACCTCTTCGCACTATGCGCTTCAGCATCCGCTGACCCCGCTCCGTCAGTTTACGTGACCTACCACTTCGTGGCTGAGTTGCTGTCATTCCCAAACACTTCCATTTTCTTATAACACAGCTGACAGTCGACTGTGGAATATTTAGGAGCGAGGAAATTTCACGACTGGATTTGTTGCACTGGTGGCATCCTATCAGTTCCACGCTGGATTTCACTGAGCTCCCGAGAGCGACCCATTCTTTCACAAATGTTTGTAAAAACAGTCTGCATGCCCAGGTGCTTCATTTTATACACCTGTGGCCGTGGAAGTGATTGGTACACCTGATTCCAATAATCTGGATGGGTGAGAAAATACTTTTGGCAATGTAGTGTATAGGTTAATCATGAATGTAGAACTCCCTACCACATTGTACATGTGCATATAGTTTTTTTTTATTTGTGTATTCTGCTTCTTTTTTTGATTATTTCATATCTTTTTCTGTATAATTAGAACATTTATTTATTCATTTATTCATTCAATTAAAAGAAACAAAACAAATCCATTAAAAAGAAAAACATTGAATGAAACGGGTGCAGAAAGAAGAAGAAAATTCTTATAATATCTGCCTCTTATTTAAAAAAAATATATAAAATAACTAGAAAACAAACAACAATTTAGGATTGACTAATCTCAAAAGTAAAAACAAAAAAACATCAGGCATCCTTCACATGGCACCATACTTTCCCAACAATTTTAATTTAATCATCTTTTTAAACATATACATTGTTTTAGAAAATGTTCTGGTGATATCGAGGCAATTCCACAATTGTGTTCCCTGAATTACAACGCAGCTCCTTCAGACTAGTTCTAAACGGAAGTTGTACAAACATTTCCAATCCCTTAAGGTTATAATGACTTTCTTTTTAAACAAATTTGAACTGAATTTTTGGGGGTAATTTTTTATGAGTTTTATACATGGCTTGTAAAATACTATATTCAACCAAATCATAAAATTCTTATAATTTCAATCGATTAAATAATATACTTGTTGGGTGACCATTGCACTTCCTACTAATAATTCTTATAGCTCTTTTTTGTAAAAATAAAAATAGGGTTTGTAATTGTTTTGCGTGCTTTTCCCCAAACTTCAATACAATGGATTAAATATGGAACAATCATTACATTAAACAATATATACAAAGCTTTGTCATTCAAAAACTCTTACTTTATACAGAAATGCAATTGATTTTGCCATTTTTATTCTTAATTTACATGAGATTTCCACGTCAGCTTCTCATCAATAACGACACCCCAAAATTTTATTTCATTAACTCTATGAATTTCAATTCTGTCTATTTTAAATGGGACTTGGTTTAATTTTTTTTCCATTACTAAATATCATCTAGTTTGCTTTTTTCAAATTTAATGAGAACTTATGGAACCAAGTTTGTATTTTTACGAATTCTGCGTGTATCGTCTCTAACGTCCGTTCAATATCTTCGTCCGAACAAAAAACGGTGGTATCATCTGCAAATAAAACACACTTCAAAAGCCCTGACACATCAACCAGATCATTCACATACAAAATAAACAAATTTTGTCCCAACACAGAGCCCTGAGGAACTCCACATCCATTAACGCAAAATTCAGATCTTACATAGTTTACCTGTACAAACTGTCTCCTATTATTCAAATAACTGGATACCCATTGTAGTGCTAATCCTCTAATGCCATATTTATTCCGTTTGCTACTGGATGCCCCCAGGATTAATAAAGTATCCATCCATCCATCCATCCATCCATCCATCCATCCATCCATCCATCCGTCCATCCATCTACATACGTATTTACCCATTTGTTTTGTGCTTGTATTTTAGAGGTTATGGACTTATTTAAAAAAAAAAAATGTTAAAGAGCATTTTTCACACATGATAAAATATCACAGCCATTCATTCTGATTTTTTGTGAACAGCAAGCAGTTTTCTAGCAAACAGTAATAAATTAGTTGTCACCAGCTGCCTTAGTTTGTTTTTCCAACATTTAGAGTGACGTGCAGTCAGATGTTTGCAGTGACCTCCTGATTTCCAGTTAGAGCAACGTTCTGCTTTCTTCTGCGTCATCAGGCTGAGTTTGTGATTTCCCTTTTCCAGTTTTTCAAACGACATCTAACACCTTGGTTTCACACGTTTGTGGGGTACGTCTGCTGTGCGTAACTTTCACAAGCTGACAGGACTGATTATGTTTAAGCATGTCGAGATTTTAAACTACAAAGTTCATCATAAAGTTTAATGCAGCCATGATGCTCAAGTAGTTAACATTAAATTTAAGCACAATTTTCAGTGCATAAAACAAGGACGTTTACATTTATATATATATAACTATATATATACATATACATACATACAAAAAAACAAACATATGCATAAATATTTAACTTCTACAAACCGGATTCCAAAAAAGTTGGGACACTAAACAAATTGTGAATAAAAACTGAATGCAATGATATATGGAGATGGTAAATGTCAATATTTTATTCGTAATATAACATAGATGACAGATCAAAAGTTTAATCTGAGTAAATGTAACATTTTAAAGGAAAAATATGTTGATTCAAAATTTCACAGTGTCAACAAATCCCAAAAAAGTTGGGACAAGTAGCAATAAGTGGCTGGAAAAAGGAAATGGAGCATATAACGAACAGCTGGAAGACCAAAAAACACTAATTAGGTCAACTGACAACATGATTGGGTATAAAAAGAGCTTCTCAGAGTGTCAGTGTCTCTCAGAAGCCAAGATGGTAAGAGGATCACCAATTCCACCATTGTTGCGCAGAAAGATAGTGCAGCAATACCAGAATGGTGTTACCCAGCGTAAAATAGCAAAGACTTTTAAGTTATCATCATCAACCGTGCATAACATCATCAAAAGATTCAGAGAATCTGGAACA